CTTATTTCTCAAGCTATCCCAATGCTTAGAAAACTTAGTAAGGTCCTCATTCAAACTCACCACCTTTCCTTGAAACTGACGCCAGTACTCTTCCGCACTTTGCAGATGGTTGGTCGCTGTTCGGAATGTCTCTCTGATTGTTGACACGTCTGACTCGGTCTGTGTCACACTTATAGCAAAACCTGCCAGCCCAGCACCAATTCGTGCAGCTGGATGGAACGCTGCCGGGATGTTCATCATAGTTAGTATTCCCCCGATTTTATATAGATAATCCGCTCGCTTTTCACTTATTGCCTTTATTTCTTCTGGTGGTAGCTGGGTGGACCTTTCTTCACAATATCCAGTAACCTTTTTAAGAGAGTATTCCACATCAAGCAATGCCTCCTTCACTGCTTTGTTTGTACTATCTACTTCATCCAATGTTTCTTTCATTATCTCATCTTCTAAATCCTCTGCAAATGTCTTATAGACCTTGTCGTCATCTACTCCACATCTGAAGCCAACTAATGCCAGGTCAGCTATGCGCTTCAAGCTAATAAGTAAGCATTTGGCTTCCTTCTTGAGGGTGCTAAACTTGTGGGCAGCAGTGATTACTTTTCTAGACACTTCTTTTTCATGCTTTTCTAAGTCTTTAATTAAGTTGTTGGAAATCCCAAGGTTCCTATTTTCCGTCCAAACATCAAAAAATGTCTCATCACGATGGAGTATTGTTTTCATTCTCTCGATTACTTCCTCATTTAACTTGACAGGCGACTTCGCCAGCTCTTCTTTCGGATTCTCATTCATCTATAAACTTATGAAATATCTGTTAATACTTAGACCACATTATTATCGAATAATTTTGCTGTCCTTGATTATCGATTTACTTTGGAGAACGTTACAACTGTTCCACTAATTCGAATTGATTATTAATTTATCCGAGAACAACATAACAGTATAGTTGAATATTTCGGCAAAAAGTAGGAGTTCTTTTCGATTTACTTATTATAATTATAAAGTGTTTATAATCTATAAGTATACTGCAACCCTAAGCTATTTTATTACATGCTGACTGCATTGTTGCAGGCAGTTGAACGAGAAAAATTTGAATTTTCATCTTTATTTCGCATGACTTTTGGTCCTAAAATAGAAACAAAAAAACTTTACATTTATCTTAAATAATTAGTAAGAGTGAATATTTCAGTAACAATAAAGAATTTTTATTCAATGGTGAATAAGGATGTATAACTATAAGTTAACTTAAGCTTTCGGTAGCCGCATCTGTCCTTTTGCGATGCCGATAGTGTAAACGCGCTAGATAGCGCTGCTATTTAACACTAGCTAGCGCAAACTATAAATTTTCGATAACTATAGTGCTAGTTGAGTTCGCACTGAATCGCGCTAGATCGCGCCATCCAGCGCTATCTAGCGCTAGTTACCGTCAGCTATGCGACATAGTCGAACCTGATAGTTTGCGATAGTTATACTTATAACCTCAAAGTCAAACCATCGCCTCAAACCATCGCCTCAAACCATGATCGCCATTCGATAACTATCGCTAACTAGCGCTAGTTAGCGCTAGCTATCGCTAAAAATCGTAACGTGATAGTTATCGCTAGCGCTAACCAGAGCAATATTTCAAAATCAAATGTTTGCGATATTACTCGTCAGCTAGCGCTAGCTAACGCTAACTATCGCAAAATATCGGTTTCAAATATTTGCGATAAACCTTGGCCTTGTCAGCTAGCGCTAGCTTGTAGCTAGCGCTAAATTGTAAATATTTTGATATGAATTAATATGTCTATGGTCATGGTGTATATCCAGCATCAAATAGCGCTAGCTACTTGCTCGAACTAATTTGTAGGTTTACAACCTACCCACTACCAGGACGCGCGCCGAGTTGGACTCGTCGACGAACAGATATTTTACGAGTATCACCCGTTAAGAACTAATGTATCATATTTCAAAATAGCACTTCACACTTTTAGTGCAGCCCCAGATTGCGCAAAAAAAATGTGTGTAAGTGTTTGGGCTCTTACTAATTCGCTCGCCCAAAAATTATCACGTGACTTTGGTTTTATGGTTTTTCAGCCGAGCAAAACGGTTTTTACATAAACCCTTATCCCAACCCTAACCCTAACCATAACCCCGAAGCTATCCATAACCCTAACCACAACCCTAACCCTAACCCGAGCCCTAAACAAGTATTCGTGGGCCCATACTTGTGCAGGAGGTGCTTTTTGCTCTCAACATCTGTGTTTTGGTGACCCTCAGGTCCTTTGATAACATACATTTTGTCCTAGAAAATCTGATTTTATCGGAGTCTTATACTTTTGAGAATATTTAATGTTGTTCATTCATTGTGTAAATTTGTATGTAATTGATCGATTTGAAAGATTTCAACAAAAAAAATCGAATTCGTGTTTTTATAATTATACTAGCCTGTCACGTGACCCTAGGGAAGCATTTTTACCCTACGTCATGGGGGGTGATTCGGAATTAGCGTCCAAAATACACCGAAATAGATAACTTTCATACCCTCAGGGCCATCTGTGTAAGTAAATTTTTCTTTTTTTAATTTTTCTGTTATGGAAATATGTTTAAGAGCTAAAGGCAAGTTCGTGGCAACTTAACGTTAGTTTATCATTAAAGCTAATGTTTCCACCGAACCACGATGGGCTTTCGCGTACCGTCGTATCACGTGACGCACTTGTTGGTATTAGAGATTTAGAGCAACTAGCAGGAACCTGTCTAACCCTAAAATAGTGTCAAGACTCAAGAGACTAAAATAATTATTACCTTTTTAGTTTTTATAGTTATCGAAAATTTATAGTTTGCGCTAGCTAGTGTTAAATAGCACAAACAAGCGCTAGACGGCGTTTGATCGTGCCATATAGCGCTATAGCTATCGCGTTTACACTATCGCAAAAGAACCACTGCATGAGCATCCGCACCAAAAGGTAAACTAAATCTAAATTAAAATTAAATAATGATCAATAAAATATTAACAAATAAAAAAACTCAATTCTGGGTGGGATAGCAGGATGAGACACGTTGCACGTGACATCATATCTACTCAGCATGTGTTTTGGTTAAAATTTAATTAAATTTCTCATTTCTTGGAATAATTCCAACAATATTATTTCCAAGGAAGCCCCCTCCGCTCTCTCTGCTTCCCTGAGAGTTAAAATATCGACTTCCTGTACAATTTTGAGATTAGAGAATACGGAGAACTAAATGACATACAGTCCCAAAGCCATGGCAAAGCTGTATTTTATTATCATTTCATTGTTTAATGTTTATAAGCATAAATGTTATTCATGCGAGGTCTTATAACACTGATTGAACAGATCAATTTCTCATCATCCACATAATATTGTAAAGTTAATCAATAATAAATAAATTCAGTGAAATTGACACAATGAGGGTGTGCATGATGTCATCTCTACTCAACTCAAGTTTTGCCTTTAATTTAATAAGCTCTCACATCCGCAGAAGTAATTTTAATTATTTTAATTCAAGCACGCTCGAGAGTTCCCATCAGGGGATGGAAGCTTAAGTCTAATCAACTTCCTTTTTAATAATTACTCAACTTCCTTTTTAAGTATTACTCAACTGCTCGCGGAATCATATAACCTGTAGTGTAAACTGTAATCACATGGTCCGGATCCGTGGGACACTGGAGAGGAACCTATGATGGGCCCTAAGTTTTGGTTAGATCCTTTTTTAATCATAATTTTTTTGTACATTTCATAGCAACAATATAAAACGAGAACGCAGTCATTCGGAATCATTACAATATATCAGGCTGACTACAGCATTAGAATTGTGATTAATAATTTGTACGTTAATGTATTTCGACAGCAGACAAGACATTTAGCGACGGATCTAATCAGGACTTGGGATCTTACCAATAAACTTGGTCACTTGAAGCTGTAGTATAGCACAAATAATACTTAAAGCTTTAACTACAGAGTTAAATAACATATGAATGCTTTTATTAATGTATGTCAAGGAGTGACAGAAATAAATTAAAATGGTGACTTAGCTTGTTGAGCAGTGCTTTTAACCCTTTTATTTAAAAGATGGTGAAATTAACCATTACTGACTTACTCAGTACTTAGTAAACTGGGGGGGGGGGGGGGGGGGGGTTCTGGAACATATCAGTGACACAACAGGTTGTTTGATTCAGAAGCTTTCAAACAAGTACAACGTGTTTTAATAATTTTCAGCTGGGGGATCGTGGAGTGAAGAGGAGATTATATAATATGATTGAGTGGTGTCAATGTGGAGTGTGTTTACTGAGTTAGTTAGTCTGAAGAGATATCCTAGGAGGGAGATAAATGTAATTGTTCCTCCGAATTATGAGAAAGCTTGCTGCATCAAATACTCTGTTTAGTAGCTAAACTGTCCCATGTCTAGTAGTGCAACTGTACTGTATAGTAGTGCAACTGCAGCCCAACTTGCATGAGAATTATTTGACCTGCAACTCACTGTTCAGTTGAGGAGCCTGATCACAGAGACAGATCTTACTGCTTTCTGTAGAACTTAATCTGCCCAATCAATGTCCCTTAATAATATCACTAAACTATTCTTCTTAATAGCTCTCTGAATATATGAGGGGATATCGTATCCTGTCTTCGTGTAATCTGCGATGACAGTTTCACACAATTTGGGGTTAATAACACAGTTGATTGGCAATACTACAATATAAAATAACTCGAACCAACCAAAGTTAGGACTGTTTTCCGATAATCGCATAGTTTACTTTCAAGTTTCAAGTTTCAACCAAATATTAGCAGCTCGTCGTGCCGGATGGTTACAGCTTATTAATGGGAGCTCAGAGCAGGGGAAAATGCGATAGAAATTGTACATTTGCAACTTGGTATCACTGTAGAACGCGTATGTCATGTGGGATTATTTAAATTCATCGTCGTACAAACAAAAATTATGGGTGTTTCGTGTGCTACGGAATATTATGAAATGATATAGTATCTAAAATACGTTATTTGTCATCTCAGGCTCAGATCAATACGAGGGTAGCCCGAGTTCCAGCAGACCAGTTAGTGAAGTGTTCTCAATCAGTTCAGAGTACTTTTCCAGGGCAACTAGCAGCGACCATATCTACCATGATATTCCTGACTCAGACGGTTGTGATGTGAGTATATTTACCCGTGATGTGACGTCATCAATGATGAGATGTGACGTCAACATTAATGAGATGTGACGTCATCAATGATGAGATGTGACGTCATCATTAATGAGATGTGACGACTGACGTCATTGTTCCTCGACGCTACAATGTTTCCTTTCAATATTTGTATACCATTTTTCACTGGCGATAACTTATGCACATAAATTTGGTGATTGGTCTCAATCACAGAAAACAACTTGCTAAATCGTTATGCAAGGACGTGCTTCTAGAAATCGTTTTCAAAAATAGTTTATATTTATTTCAGTCGGATGGAGATTACATCTCAGCACCGGACCAGCTGAACTACGGAGCTGTGTACACCCCATATTCCGGATCTGAGCCGGACCGGACCCGGACTAGATCCGTACCTTCAACCAGCAGTGAGTCTTATTTAATCACATTAACAGAATACCACCTACTGATTGCGACAGTTTAGAATTTGAAAAGGTTCCTCCGTCCGTAATATTCGTCCCTTCACACTAGTGTACTGTTTATGAGTGTATGATTATGTAATATTTGTATATTTATAAATATGTTTATAAATGTATGTTATATGTGTATATTTATAAATATGTTCATAAATGGATCTAATATGCGTATATTTATAAACATTTTTACAACTTTAATCATAATTTCCCTGTCTGACGCACCCTCAGCAGCTAGCCCCAACAGAAAGCTGTCAAGACAGTAGTTTTTGTTTATTTGTGTAAGCTATTAATATCCGTGTTAATTAAAATTGCAACTTTCTCTACTCTCAGTACACAGTACACACCTTTGTGAGCTTTGTGCCAACCATTTTTAGTTTTTGAAATAGCCTTTTAAAAATCATTTAGGTTCATATTTATGGTTTTAATTAGATTTTTACTTTGTTGGCAAGTTTCTTGCCTCTGCTCATTCCGAGTTTCAGTTATATCCCCCGTAATTATAAAACTTGTCTAATGTTTAGGTTTCCACAACATTATCTCATCGATAAACGATCTCGAGGAAAAACTAGGACCTGAAAAACACGAGGATCTGCGTTTTCTTCGGGAGATACTGCAGAACAACCAATTATCTGTTCTACACAGAGTAAGATATATGACGACAATGACAGATATATGACAGAACACACTGACGACATGACGACACCAGCTCACGTTGTGACGACACTAGCTCACGTTGTGACGACACCAGCTCACGTTGTGACGACACCAGCTCACGTTGTGACGACACCTGCTCACGTTGTGACGACATCAGCTCACGTTGTGACGACAACTAATATCAGAACTACTGAAGTGGTCTCCAGCACTGTTCATGTCCCAGAATCCTCTCACAGAGGACCAGCTCCAGTACCCCATGCTAATGAAGCCCCCGTCCCAAACCCCCGACTAATTGTAACTCAGCCCAGTACTGACTCTCTTCACAACGTGGTCCGCTACAATCCCTCTGATCCGTATGAAGGTATTTTGGAGGAGTCCCCTTATGATTCGGACCAGTCCTCTTTGGAGCAGGAGGAGGAACTGGAAGAGTCTGGTTCGGAGGGCGGGGATTTGAAGAGATATGGGTCAGTGTCGGAGGGGCTGGATGAGCTGATCAACAGTTTGAACGACATGATGGGACAGCAATCAAGTGAAACTGAGGATGATTATGTTAACCAGGAAGCTGTCGACAGTTTTGTTGGAAGGAGTATTGGGGAGGTGTCAGAGGATGCTGAGCCGGTCGATGAACGTCCTGTGAGCGCTATTCAAGATAACGTACTGTTCTTTGAGTCTCTTGCTGGGAGAGAGGGTAATTTGTCAGAAATTGAAGTTAATGATGAAGATGATGATTTGAGTGAGGGTGAGGTCGAGGATTTCATTTCGCGTTCAATAAGGTTCTCTCAGCAAGGACAGGACAAGGATTTAAAGCTCTTTGTTGAAGCCGAAGATGATATATTCACTCGATCAATAAACGAAAACATTGAATTTTTTGAAGGCCTCAACAAAATTGACAGTGATTTAGAACTACAGCACGTGCAGAAGCCCGAATTCTTGAGACGAGATCACAGTCGAGGATTGAGCAATGCTACTGACAAACAGAGTCTTACAAGTCTTGATCGCGAAGCCATGAACGCAGGTTTGGCTGATTTGGATGCAGAGATTGAAACGTTGAAAAACATGACAACACTGGACAGTCTGATTGGGGATTTTGTCGCTGATCTTGAAGGTAGTTTCAGTAACGATCCGGTAGATTCTGATGAAGTTTTGGCCATAGAACAATTGATTGAGATGAGAGAGCGTGCTCTAAATGGGGCGACAGAGATGGAGCTTATGAGTAAAAAGAGAACGTCAAAACACAGATCAAGGAGTAAACCGGAGAGAGTTCGAGAAAGAGCGAGCAGTGGGAGTTTGACTGAAGAAGAGCGAGATGCAGCACTTTTGGCGCTCTACGCTGCAAGGATACATCAGCGCAGATCCTTCAACAAGAACTTTATCAAGATATTATATCAGAGCAGCCCAGATCTTGCTTTTAGGGAAAATATTGTCGCCGAGGCTAAGAATTTGAATAACTCGCTCGATAGATTTCAACTCAAATCGTATCAAAGTGCTGCTGCTTTAGAGTATGGTAAACTAAAATCAGAAATGATGACTCAAAAGCGGCAAGGGAGATCTAAGAAACCGGGTAAAATTGGAAAAAGACCAAAAAATGTATCTCAAAAGAATGCTCAACATTCAGAGAAGAATGATCTTGCTCTTCTCGTCGATGAGATTGCGAATGCGTTTCCGGTGAGCAAATTTGATTCAGACTCAGCACGGACAAGAGAAAAAGACCGAACGCAAACACATTCTAAACCCGAAATAGATGTTCCGGTTCAATCTGTCGAATCTAAGCTTGTAAAAAATAATTGTCGTGCAGTTGATAGCGAAGGAGGCGGATACGATTCATTGAAGTCAGGCGATTCTGCTAACAACGAACCTCAAAACAGTAAGACAAGAGCATCTTTAGATGGTAATGGTGGTGGGTATGATTCGCTGAAATCAGAGAAAAGCCTTGAGAAAGATGCGTTCCTTGATGCAGGTAGGGGTGGATATGATTCCATGTCATCTTGTGATGAGAATCTTTTTCCAAGGAAAACGTCGTTGGACGACCACGGGGGTGGTTATGATTCCTTAACGAGTGGTGATGAACAAATCCTCAAGGCTTCTGTAGAAAGAAAGAATTCTCTTGATGCCGATGGGGGTGGGTATGATTCCATGCCTTCTTGCGATGAAAAGATGTTGCTGAGGAAAAATTCTTTGGAAACTGATGGGGGAGGATATGATTCCTTAGGAACAGACAATGAAAAGATTTCCATAATTCCCATCAGAATAAAGGCTTCTTTGGATGCTGACGGAGGTGGTTACGATTCAATGCCTGATTCGGCGGAGAAAGGTACTAAAGCAGCTGAAGACGGTGGAGGATATGACAGTATGTCCTCAGATCTCATGTCCCGAAGAAAAGGTGCAGACACAGACGGGGGCGGATACGATTCAATGTGTGATGAGCCAATAAAGGTGAAGAAAAGAGCTACCAGAGATACTCCCCAAATGTCAGCACCTGCCCATCCTCCTTCGAGACCACACTCCACACCGTTCATTACACAAAAGAAAACGTCACCCCCTTACAGCAGGCCTAAACTACCATCTTCTTCAGCTCCCTCTCGCCCGGAACTCCCATCTGGACCTCCACCAACAGTCCCCGACCATGTAAGCTCCTCAATGGCTACATCAACTGACAGGATCAACAAGTCTTTAGATACATCCCTTGATAAGATCAAGGAACCAGAAGATAATACTGATGATCATGATGACGGGTATGATAGAGACAGCACTGACGACAGTTCCTTCGTCCTGTCCTCTCTTTCCGGGATCTGCGACTCAGTGTTCTTCTCAACTCCTCCACTCAGCAGAGCGGAGTCTGATTTCCTCCACCATTACGACTCTGATCCTGATGATGTGTCCTTCTCGGATACTCACCAGAGACCCTATGATGCTGTATTTAATGACTACATTATCGGGCTAACTGGTACTAACATTCATCGGAGGACTCAGTCTATTGCTGTTATGCAGCATCAGATGAAAAAGTGTGATAGTTTATTAGAAGACTTTGACTACATCCAACTTCAACAGTACCGCAAACATGAGGTTATTTTCACTGACTTTTCACCGACGTTTTACTAACAAAAAGCATCGTAATAATTTTCAGTTCTGTCATAATTACAATTTTAAATTTGCCTTTTTTCACACTCTCTCGTATCTTTTAAAGTGCTTTGTTTCAGGCTCTGAAAACAACTGGGGATAAGGCCTTCTCACAAAGTACTCCTCATCTCGGAAATGTTCAAAATGTTAATAATGAGGTACGTAAATACCGTTTCTAACAAAAGTTTCTGCTTATTTTTTCAGCTTTATTACGGATTGAACTCATTCTCCAGTTCTAGATTTGTTTTTTGCTGTCCACAGCTGATTATAAGCAATAAATTAGAGGCTGAACAATGTTCAGTGAACATACTCATAATATCAGGGTTTGTATCGTTCATACCAACCACAAAATGTAGAGGGGTTTTATCAGGGGGATGTTCGGTGCGAATTGACATTTTTTAGATTTCTGGGGTTATCTTGCAGTATAGCCAGTGTAAAATTTGATTGAAGTTATTCTCGGTTAAAAGTAACCGGTTATCTGGGAATAAAGTACTTATTACTTAGCTCTAACACTATATCTCAATCAGAACAAGTTAGGTGGACAAAGTAGCAAACTAGCAGCTTCATCGTACAACTGGGAGCAAATAAAGCAACCTGCACCTGAGGAGGATGATGATGACATCGTCACTATCAGATTCACCAAGACTCATGAGCAATCTCTGGTGAGAAGTTACTCCGTCAAATATTTAGACAGTCTATTAGTCTTTCAAGTAGCCGTCGATTATTAGTTTTCAGCCTTTCATCGGCTAGTCATGTTCATAGTTCATTCGATCATAGCCCGGATAAAATGATCTAAAATCACGACTGCCAGTTGATGTAAACGATTAATCCTGCAACGTGTGTACCGTGACATAAATAGCTAATTAATCGCAGTTAAGTAATCTCTTATCTCACGGTAGCAAATCTAAACATCTTCCTATCCAGGCATTTCCCCTTACTCGTTTGGTAAGTGGCTCAATTGTTGTGCCCGTCAACTTGACACTCCATTTCAAAGTTCTCAATTATTTCTAACCGTATTGTGATAAACTGTAAATGCAATGTGCTGTAATGCAATGTCTAAAACAATGAATCACAGTTAGAAAATGGTGGTGCTGGCAGATTACCAGTGTTTGTATTGTAACGTGTGTAAAATGTAAATATACGTTAAATCTGTCGTGACTTGTCATATTGTTTTGCCCTTGTTTCTTTACTTTGTTCGCTGTAGCTGCTAATGTGGCCCAATAACAGTGTTAATAACCACAATGTTAACAGTGTTAATAAATAATAATAGCATTGTTTACAGCGCTAACAGTAAAATTAATAGCCCCTCCACCGAAGGATGGTTTAGGGAGGTGCTGGTGAAAGTAGTTAAATTTGTCACATTACTTTCGTAAACTTAGCAGATGTCAGATAGTGAGTGTTGGTTTGGTTAAAAAGTGGTCAGGCGCTTGCCACCGTCCACTTTCTATCCAGCATTCATCTAGATGTGTGTCAATTATGATACTCGCCCTGTATAGCCGATAGAATGCTCTGGACCAAGCATTGTCCTATGCGTCCGGTTACGTTATTACATACTTCTCCTCAATGTCGCCCGTCTAAACTGTATAATTTGTCTGTAACTAGGGTGCTACGATAGTAGGAGATAAGAGAACAGGTGGTATACTGATAAAGAGGATCCTAGAAGAGAGCCCTATAGCTGCCTGCAACAAGATCCACCCAGGCGACGAACTCAAAATGTTAGTTTCACATTTGCTGTCCTTATGATGATTATATCTTGAAATAAAAATTCGACTTGTAATCCTTTTATGTGCGACGAAAGTTGTAGCTCGCTGGTTTTTAATAATTTTCACTTGTTACCTACTCGTCTGAGTCCCCCCTCAATCCCATTCATGCCCTTTGCGCTATCTCACAGCACCCTCTCTTACCCTCCTCGACTCTCTGTACCTCCCTCTTCCAGCTAGAACCCTTCAACCTCCCTTATCTAGCGAAGCCACCACCACCACATCTGGTGTTAGTTTGAATCATAAATACCACCTCTCTCCTCCTAGGATAAACAACGTTCCAGTGGCGGGTAAAACTGTTGAGGAAGTAAGAGAAATGTTAGGTAGATTATCCCAGGATTGTACTATTACTGTTTCCTCCTTTGGAGCGTTTCCTGAAGACAGAGAGTCTTATACCGCTCCTAAGGTTAGTTCTTATTTCTGGCTTTGGGTTACAGGTTCGTTGATTATCATTAATTAGGAAGCACTCCTTTTTTCTTGGACTTTTTCGTGAAAGTTTAGACGTTGAGGGGGAAACTGAGAAACATATCAGTTTTAAAAAATATCATTAAAAATACACATGTAACGTTTTCCATCTATAGTCGCGTTATTTCCGGGCCTTTTTCAACTACGACCCGAAGAAAGACACCCTGAACCCCTGTCAAGATGCTAGCTTCTCCTTCGAGTTGGGAGATATTCTGGAGGTAGGTTGTTAGAAATGTTAGAAATGTTTCTGGGTACTAGTGGGAAACTGTAACATGTTTGTTTTGACACATGGCCTCCCACCAATATCCGAATATATGTATTAGAGCTTTTCATTTAGCAATTATAACTATTAAACAAATTCTCCATGTTGTGTATAGCTAGAGTGTGTAGCTAAACCTGGTTACAATTCCATGTTACAGTTACAACCTCTCACGAAATTTTAATTAACAATATACTGAATACTGATATACCTGCTTTAGTGAGGTAAATTCCGAAATGATTAATTTTTGTTTGCTAGAGCCAAATTAACAATATTATGTTTTAGGTTGTGAACACAGAAGATGAGTCGTGGTGGCAAGCTAAGAAATATGGGACAGTACACGTTGGTCTTATCCCCAGTAGCGACCAGAGGTTTGAAGAAATAGTGTCTACTTTTGCTATATTCTAGAAATCTGATTTTTCATACGCCGACTTTTAAAGTTTTAATTGATAATATTGAAATGTTAATACCATAATGAAGTTAGTAGTAAATAGTAAAACAGCGCTGATTGAACGCCAGGAAATCAGAATTTTAACCTTAACCCCACTTTTGTACTGATCTCCTTGACATTCGCCAGGTTACGATATCTGAACAGTCGAGCAACTAAAGCGTCCACAGACAACTTGCTTTACACCCGGGAGAAGAGTAAGAAAAGCAAGAAAAAGAAAGACTTTCTTTTCACATTCGGAACTAAAGATCATAAGGAACCTCTGACATACATCGAGGTCACCCATGTGAGGCCGAGTAAGAGCAAACGGCGTCCTATTATAATAACAGGTCAGTGAGAGACTCAGAGACGCCCATGTTATGTGCTTAATTTATCGTTATGTGGATAATACTTGACTAAGGTCGTGGAGGCGATGCTAAATTACTTAAAATGCGCATTTCATTGGAATCACAACTTCGATTGCTTTCTGTGCTTTTGTTGCTTACTTTTTTTCCGAATACAGTATAAGTAACTTTTTTGTCAACATCAATAATTTTGCAGGTGCTAAGTATTTTGGTGGATCTTGTATAAGAAATAAACTGTTGCAGAGATATCCCGAAAAGTACTTCCTCCCTATTAAACGTGAGTCTGAACCACAATTGAACTTTCTCCAATAAATTGAACTCGTTTTTGATCGACGGAAAGGGCAACCACGCTTGAAAAAACAAGATGATAGGTAATTATAAGTTTTAGCTGGCATTTTTCCAGACACCACGAAGACAGACGCTGAGGGATACAAACACTGCTCGAAGAAAGAGTTCTCAGCCTTGATAAAACAGAGAGACATGATAGAGTACACTAAAACTGGGGGACACTACTACGGTACCTCATATGAGAGTGTTAGAGACCTTATCATTAATGGGAAGATCTGTCTCTTAGATGTTCATCCTCAGGTACTTTGGAATTTTGTATCGTGTGATTTTTATTTTAAAGTCAATTTTAATGACCAGGTTATCAGACTCTTGGTATTTAATATCAAAATTAATTGCGTAACATTGCACATCTTTAGTTTGTTTTGCCAAGTCTGGTCACTATTTGTAGTCCATCACATTTATAAATGACAACTTATCTAACATTTGAGATTATCCAATCAAAAGCCCAGCATCATTCTCGTGCTTTTACATATTACTTTCCTGATAGTCTTATTCTTGCGTTGGATCCCTGTATTTCTCTTTCTCTTCTACCTCCTGAGTTTCTGTTTCTCTTTCACAGTACCTGTCCGTGTTATGTAACGGAACACTGCGTCCCCACGTGATATATGTTGAAGCGACAACCGAGGAGCGGATAAAGGAACTCAAACAAACGGATATGGAGGAACTACCTGCCCCGCAAAGAAAACTTCATGTGCGTCACTTCAATTAATTACAATTTTCTAAATCAACACAATCCAAATTTCGTATTGATTAAATTTGTTTCATATTTTCAATTTGTCTGTACTTTTCATGAAAGTCTTAAAACGCCTCCCAACAAAATGTGTATAACGACTGGATCTTTTCAGCTAATTTGGCCTAACGTCAAGTATAATTATATGAATAAACTGTTAGTCAGCCTTGCTCAGTGCGAACTCATGTAAGTGTGACCTCAGCACTAAAATAACTCTTCTAACAACCCTCAGGGTAGCGATATCAGAGAGTTGAGGTTCAACTCAGAGCGACTCTTACGAAGGTACACAGAGTTTGTGGACACAATCATAACTCTTGAGAGTCTTTCTTCAGTCGTGGATCTTATAGACCAAGTCGCGGAAAGGATCATTGATCATCCGGCCTGGATGCCTAGGAGATGGTTAGAAAACACGTGACGAGGTGGAATGTCATGTGACGAGGTGAAATGTTTCACTTCGGTTTAGGAACTCTTTCTGAAAATGTGATAAGTTACATGCTATTTGAACAATAAGTCCGTTCAAAAATGTCCCGGAGCTAAAAGTAAATCACTGAAACTTTCTCAATGACTACAATGAAATGTGAAACTTGTAAGTTTAATCCGCCATATGGCTAAGAATGTTAGTTATTTCGAGCATCATTAACACGCGACACTCTGTTGTGAATGTACTGAGACTGCTCGACGAATATTGAGATATTTTTACGTTATTGTATATCAGACCGTATTATATTATAGAAATTTAATTTTATGACACTTACTGCATGTCCTTCATTTTATTCCCATTAAATCTCTGATGGCAGTTACTTTATTGAAAATAATGTCAAAAATTGAATCAATTTTAATTACTTTTTTAATTCATAAGTTGATCAATATTGAGTTAAAAATAAAATGAAATGTCATGTTCTACATTTATTTTTTGACTGATACGAGCCTTGTTACTTCGTTAATTCCGTAATTAGCAATTAAATCGCATAAATTCAATTAAATCTATGTACTACGAGATTATGGAAATTGATTCCAGAAAAAGACCAAACGTTCTTTTATTTAGTCGTCCAAGAAGACTAAAATGAAAAGTTCCAAGCTTGTGATAAACTGAAATCACTAGTGCATCGTATTACGACCTATTTGCTGATGTGATATTTCGTGAGACTATAGTCTGCAATACAGTTGCTACGCAACATCTATACCTGTATAATTATAGTCGTCTGAGAGAGTGTAGTCAGTTCTTAGTCTGTAGTGACTGGAAGTCTGGAAGCAGGCTTTTCAGAGTCGCAACAAACGTCATCCTCTCAGATCCCACCTCATGAAATACCACCTAGTACAGATCCTGTCAAACCAATCAGGTCCTATCACGTGACCTTACCGACCAATCAGGGGCCGCCAATAATACAGCAACCAATCAGGAGCCGAGATGCCTTCCGAGATGCAGAACAGAGCTGCTGTTGTGCTCGGCAGGTGTCAGGTTGGGCGGTACACTGCTCACTTGCCGGACCGGGCCCTCAACACTGGACACCAAGTCACGTGACCAAGTGCTCGCTCTCTGATCGGTCAACACGATCACGTGACACGAACTCTAGCACGTGCCAACTCCGAAAGTGTCGTATTAGCTAAACACGAGTTGGATAATTGTACCCCGATGATCTGGTGGCTCTGAAAAGTTGTCACGTGGTGTGAAAGGAGAGCTGTGGTTGGTTACCCCGCAACACACGTGGCGCCGGAGAGGACACTGGTTGGGTGATGTGAGATAGTGTAAACGACTGCAGAGGTACTCACCATCTTGTACTGTAGACCGGCAGATAATTGCCCTGCTGCACTCTTTATACAATCACACGTAGTACAGCCTGATAGATCTGAGTACCTTGACAGAACCTAATTAGTCAGCCCCGGACCAAGGGCCCAGTTGGGGGAGCGGGTGGGGTGGGACTATATCACATTATCCACTTGCATGATCCCATCATTCTTCAGGACTGACACGATTTGGAGAGGTGCATGTAGGACTCTGAGCTAAGATCGGTGGAGCAGAAACGAGTTGGTGGAGCGGTGCTGGCCCCCGCCACGCTGTGCACCTTCAGCTCTCCCCCCGTCCAGCCACGTGGGCCTGAAGGTGGGCTACCGCTTATCCCATATAAGGTATAATGAGGTAGGTCAGTCTGTTGGGTACGTAATTATCCTTTTTAAAGCAGGACAAATGCTATACCATGTGTGTAAGAGAGCGCTGTCCCCCAGTGTGGGCCGCATCATACAGTACACTTTCTCTCTCCAGCTCCGCTTTGTTTTGTCTCAGGACGAGAGTATCATTATCCACCGCTCACTAGCTCACTAGCGTTCCCCTGCCCTAGTTTACATTGTCCTGATTGTCCTGGGTCAGCTAGCTTGTGCCCGCTTTGTCTTTAGCTGGACATCTCTCTCCCCGGTCCTGCTTTAACCCTGCCCCTGATCGCAGTACTCGGGCTGCCCTTTGTTCACGGGTGCTCCAACTCGGCCAAATAATGACCTGACTCGTCTTGAATTTTTGATGTGCAGAGTGCCATGGTCCTTATTGCTGTACTGAGCGAGGGACCTGCCTTTAGTTTTAGTTTAGCCCAGTTTTATTCAAATAGTTATGCTAATCTGCCTGGCTGGGATCGTCCTTATCGTGGATTATATCTGTCCTCGCTGGTTTTTAGTGGGTGGTCCCACTCTTAGATCCAGGCAGGAATTAATTAAATTTTTAAAGCTCTGAAATACCGGCGAGAGTTGCAGAGTGTGTTTGCACAAAAACCGTGCTCTTAATTCATGGCGACATACTGTTTTGTGGCTATCGATTTAATTTCCTTTCTCAGTAATTTGTGGTACTGATTTCTAAGTAATTTCATGGCATCAATAAGTGGTTCTTAATCAATCATAGCAATCAATCTGTACTAATACTATTTGGTACTACTTTAACGGATTTGTTGTCCTGTTATTGTATTTTATGATAAAGCTATACTCCCCTGAATTGGTAATGGTATCGGTCGTGCACGTTTAACTTTAAACGCAAGGTTTTACACGATTATAATTCCTCGATGTTCCACAATTCACAAAATTGATGTCCTATAATTTAGTAATTTTGTCGATATCACCGCATTGTGTTTTGTGATAGCACCCTCCGTCCGCGATTATGTTCGGATACAATTAAAATTTGATTAGGAGTCCCATTGAATAATCGTGTTGCAAGTTGATTCTCATACCCTTTTGTGTTGCACGGGTTGTCTGTCTCGATTGGTCAGAGATGGATCGTTTATCTCTCGTAGATCAGCTAAACTTGGCAACGGCTGCCTATTCAAGTTCCATGCTGTGGTTTGGAAGTTTGGTTATTTTAAAGAATGGATCAGACCATTTCTTTGTCATTATAAGTAACGAGCTTATTACTGAGCAGTTATTGATGATCGCACTTGTAGTTAATAATAACATATTAGCACATATTTAATATTCCTAAATTTCACAAAGCTCCCCCCAACGTGTCTAATTCTTGTCTGTATTCACGGCAGTGTTCTTTGCTTGGAGGTAAGGTTGCATTATTCATTAACACGAGGGAAGATAAATACATTGCACGGGAGAACGCATTCGTTTTATATGCGATCCATAGCACCACTAACGTCACTACAATGTATTTACCATATTGTTCAATGTTCAATGACTCTGAAAAAGTTTTCCAGTTCCCTGGGTCCGAAGTCAAATTATTTCCCGATTTTAATTTGACTCCAGTTCTTTTGCATGAAGATAGTGATATAATCATTTTTATCATTACGTCTGTGAAATTCGTGGGTCCACGTTTCTGATGCAAGGTTTCACCCTAACGAATCACGACTGGCTATATGCCACACGGCGACAGCCACCCTCGAACAGAACACTGACAAACGCAAACACAGACAGCAAGCAAATTAGAGGTAGTGACACAGCAACGTGAATCACGACGATACTTGACTTCCAAACTTCGTGTTGGGTAAAGATTTTAACGAACTCTCATACCAAATATGGAGTTACAAAGCAGCAAACTCTAATGTGGGTGTCATAAAGATAAACAGATTTTTTGCTGCTCCAACATAAACCCGTTCTGTCGGAGGAAAGGTCAGAATGCGAGTGTCCACGAAGATAGTAGGATCGTAGAGTGTCATAAGACCACCCGCAACAACCACCAGTCTCCCACCCAGCTCAGAACACCAAGGTTCCACTAAGGCACTATTAAAGGTACTTCAAGGTCCTTTCGCTCATTTCTTGTTGGTCATACTCATATTGGTGTTTTGCCTGGGAGTGCATCAGATCTTGCTGTTGGCTTGTAAACTGAGCACAGAGAAATGTCTCATCGCAAATTAAGAATGAAGCAACCACAAGGTTTGTTACTTTTTAGACACTGAGTATTTGCTCAAACTAAACGCTTTTTTTACACGGTTTTACACAGTATACACATGACGTGTGACACTTCTTCCTTGCTAACGGTCAGTTAGGAAGTCTCTCCGAATGAACTGTGTTTTGATTGGTAGAGGAAGAAAAAGAGTCACTGTTATGATTGTTGTTCTTCAATGTGATGAGGTCGCCGGGTGTGCAGCCCTTCAGCCACCTTTCCATATCTATAGGAATTTAGTCCGGTGGCTGCCTCTAGCTTTAATTTAAAGGTCCATAATGAATCTCAGTTCTTGTGTCACTTCTCCACAATAAAAACAGTCATCCAAAAATAGTTATCACCAACCCATATATATAGAGTCCCTTCTGCGATCAAACCAAAATAGTTTCGTAGAAGGTTCAAAGTTCGCTGGATTCTAGCGCTTCGTTGAATAATCGAAGAGTGCAAAAAGGAACAGATCTGCAGCTGTCTTGTTTATAGATTTTTCCAAAGCCTTCTTCACCATCATTAGGAAAGCACGCATAAATAGCTGGTCTGTATGGGACCCCTCCTGCCATTCTCACTGTCACTAGTGACTTGGCCTGCTCATGCACCAGAATCCAAACTTCGGCCGGTCTTACTGACTTTCAAAGCCTTTATCAGAATGTTACAAGTTGATACATTGGCCCCTTCCTGTTCATTAGTGTTCTTGGAAATGGACTTACTATTAACCCCATACAAACTCTATCTAGAAAGCTGAACTGCTACTCTATGATCTAGAACACTCGGCTCATGAACAACTCAATAAGTTGAACCCTCTATGAAGACATCCAAAGATCAGCAAACCTGGACAATGAGCATTCGAGAAGCGACTGAACGATTATACCATTTACCAGTCTCTTGATAAAGGCGAATAATATGTCTTGAAATCAAGAAGATTTTGACAACTTTTAAGAGCCTCTGATCGGGTTTAGTCTAGCTCACCATAACAAGCCAATCGTGAAATAAGATTCCTAAAAACTCGCTGACTTAAAGAAGATCCCAAAATAGATTCAAAATAAATGACATGGTTTTTAGCAATATCTGAAACGGACCACACACGACGCTCCTTTATATATTGGGCTCACGTGACCACAGCGATCCAACATCCATCTCCGCACAGGACACCAACAAACTCAAAGGTAACCGGTCGACAGACGTTAACGAACGCGAAAATAGAGGTTGTGACACAGCAACGTTAGCGTTTGAAGAATACTGAGTTTGACTTCGTGTTGGGTAACAATTTTAACGAACTCTCTTACCAAATATGGAGTTACAAAGCAGCTAGCTCTAATGTGGGTGTCATAAAGATAAACGGATTTATTGCAGCTCGAACACGAGTCAGTCCCGTCGAATGAAGGGTCAGAGGGTGTCCACGAAGATAGTAGGATCGTAGAGTGTCATAAGACCACCCGCAACCACCACCAGTCTCCCACCCAGCTCAGAACACCAAGGTTCCAATATTATAAAAGGTACTTTAAGGTCCTGTCGCTCATTTCTTTTATTCTCACCTGCCTCTAGTTGCTCTTAAGACGCTCTTCTGAGTCCTGCACAATATTTGTATACTCCATTAACTTACATTCTCTATTTCTCATGAGCAAGGTGTTAAGACATTATTTCCCAACATCAATTCTAAATGATTGCAGTTGAACGCCCTATCGAATCCAGTTGTGTGGTTAAAAATTGGTATCCTGCCAGAGAGGGTAAGATTAGCAGCCCAGAATTGAGATTGCAAGCCAGGGCCAGGCTCGCACGTTGTCTACAACTACCATGCAAGCCCACTGCCACCAATACCAGTCACGTGACATCCTGTAACCAACCACCGGCTGCTCAGCCTGTCTACCATGGTTTTCACGGTGGTTAATTTTAGAGCCGGCAGATGCCAGCCAGCGGGCATGTACCGAAATATATGATGTCAGGGCGGTATGAGGGGTGACGTTATGTGGCAGTTATTTCGGGTCCGCTTTGTTAATGAGCAATTAGCAGTTGTTCAGTTATTTTAGTTCTTCCGTATTTTACTGTTAAGTTTGTTACATAGGATTTATCAGATTCAGAGACTGAATATCAGAAGATTAAGGTATTTTCCATATAAATATTTAAAACTGTTTCTAATTGCCAAAATCCTTCGGCGTGGCAAACTAAGTCATATCAAAGTTTCACAAAGTGTTTATCTGTACTGTACGTTGAATGTACAATATTTTGGTTTGACTGCACAAAGTACAAGAAATATTAATCAATTAATTAATAAAACAATGAAGTGATGAAACAATTCACTAACAATTAAAAATTACCCTATTAATCACCAGTAATTAATTACACTAATTAATCACCAGTAATTAATTACACTGATTATAAACCTAATTATTTACCAGTAATGATCGACGGACTGATTCTGAGCAACGTTCGCACGAGTTCTCCAAACGCTATTCTAGCGCCGACGCCGATAAAGCTCCAGAAACACGTAGTCAGCAGCATGACCACGCCCACTATGATATCTTCTACATCTTACAGTTGTGAGTCATATATTCATACTTTGCATATTTGTAATCTTATTATTATATTGCATAATTCATCGGCCAATATTAACGTATTCGTTTTAGACATAGATTCATCCTGAATTAGGCTTCATTATGACTGATGGAATTTTACTTAATGTATGTGCAAAACTTACCTAACTTAATTTCGGTGCTCTTTTATTACACCCTTGAGCACAGAAGAACTATTGAACTTGTCTATATTCATTTTAAAGCTTATCTACATTAAAACTTATATACATTTAAACATTAACACCCCCATTCTCCCCAGCCCCTAACTCCACAACATCTACCACCTCCACCAACAGTAGCAACCCCTCCCCAACCATCGACTGGACTCACGAGAGGATAATAGGCTTGATAAAGCTGTACGAGAAGAAATCCGTCCTCTGGAATCCCAGTAATCCGGAGTATTTTCATAGGGATATCCGGAACATGGTGTATGATGATCTGGTCCGGGAACTCAACATTCCTGATCTCACTGGTACGTCTAAAATTGATATCATTAATTGATTGGTTAGTCCATTAATGAACAATTCATTCATTAACTTTCTGTCTTCTATTGAATGATATTACTAGGTGGTAGATCATTTGGACCTTTACCGATTGTTGAAATTCGACATCTAGCGTCATCTAGCGTTAAATGACGCTAGATGACGCTAGATGACGCTAGATGTCGAATTTCAACAATCGGTAAAGGTCCGATCATTATACCTGTTCGTTTTTAAACGCGAATTTCAAATATATAGTCTGAGTTCCTGTTTTTATTGCAACCTTATATTCCCTCAGTTAACGAAACGAAGAGAAAACTGGAGAATTTACGAAGCTACTTCCGAAGAGAGACAAAAAAGTTGCAAGACCACGAGAGGAAAACAAACGAGAAGCTCCAGTCGAGATGGCCTTATTACGAGAGTCTGCAGTTCATCCACGAGTTCATGAGTGTTAAGAATGAGAGTGGTGCTGAGCTGGGGTTCGCAAAGGTTCGTTACGTTCTCTTTCATTCTTCATTTCATAAAAATCTGCCGAGCACTTTTCTACTAACAAACTATTTTTCTCCGGACAATCCTTCTTCGCAAAGTTTTAATCTGTGTTTCCTCCGCAGAACATGTCTGCCAGAAACTCCTCCTCCTACCACCTCCCCACTATGAAGAGAGAGCACGTGACCGAGGAGTGTGCCGTTCAGGTTCCCATGGGTAGCACTTCAGGAACTCTGGACGCTAGTGCTTTCCATCTGGCTAACAACGCTGACCTAGTCGCAGTTCTCAAGGCTCTTCAGGTATAATATTTAGGATTAATTTTGAAAAGTTAAAAAACATTCGAGACAACGACGAACAATTATGCCATTTGTCTTGTACAATTTTATAAAAGAAATCTAGTCGAATGCAAATAATGAATAGCGCTGATATAAACATTCTCTCCAGGGGCCCCTAGCAGAAACCGCGGCCTCCTGTTTTGGGATAACACCAGATATAAGCGATCAGAACAGCAATGCTAACGGACTAGTTCACCAGATGAACGGAGTTAATCACTCCTCTCCGCACTGTAGTCCTAACAACACTACCAGTCCTAGGGTACGGAAATATTTCCTTGTGTTTGATAATCGGCACTTCCTGCGCGGGAAGGCAATGATTTCTCATTTTCTTTATTTATTTGATCGCGCTCCCCTGAACCCTAGCTATTATTCACAACTAGTGAAATTGTATATTGTCAATCACTGTTGAGAAAGCTATATGGTATTATAACGTCCCGGAGGGTATTATTATTTGAGATATTAATGTTAAGAGAAAAGCACCTTGACTAATAAAGTAACCTCTCACAGGGTGACAACAGTGAACAAGGCCGCTCCGAAACACCAGTGGCTCCTCTCTTGCCCCAAAACTTGGCCATCCCCGGCAAATCCGACTGTGACAGCCGTAAGTAACCAGCCACACCTTATACCACGATTACATGAAACTTGGCTGGAGTTAAATTGCGACAGCAGTAAATATAATTTTCTCGATATCAGAGAGTCTTATTCGCTTGCTGTCTGCCAGATTTATTAGAGAAATAGGTGGGCGGCGTTTAATAAGGGACGTCACGTAGTTCGTGGGAGGCGTGTCTGGTCACTCCCAGACAGGTATTAAAACGTGCTACTGTCACTGTCAGCTATAACCCTTCAAACGTCAATAAATCATGCAAATGTCAGGAAATATTGTAAGTCCTGCAAACATCATTTAAGTAGTTGTAGAGTTACGGACCTTGTAGATAACCAGTGAAACCACGCAAGAGAGAGGAAACTATTTAGAAAGGCGTTTATATTTAGGGATTTATAAAAATTCTTTTCCCGAATTCAAAAACTGATAAATGACGCTTGAAAATTCAATATTTTCCCTCACAGAATATATGCAATATATAATACGAAGTATATATATATATATATATATATATATGTAATATACAATATACATGTAGTTTATATGCAGTATATAACATATATGTAGTATATATTATATATTATATGTATTATGTAGTATATATGTATTAAGTAGTATATATGAAATATGAATATGTAGATTGTAGTATATACTATATGATATGGGTGTAATAGTATATGGGTCCTAATCCTCATAGACTGTCTCCCTTTGTTAAGTTTCTTTTCTAATGCGTCTTACCACGGTGCAGAATGTAGATATTGACTACTAGCATGAATATGTTATACGTTATAAAGGACATGAAAACCACACAAAAAAAGAAACAATGACAATAAAAAATGACCCAACATTAATACCGTGTTGTTTCAGCTGGAGATGTGTGTAAGAAGAGGAAGCTGTGTGAACGACAGTCCTCCAGCAGGTCAACTGAGGAGGCGGACCTTTGCGGGGACTACGGACGAACTGTCGCTTATCAGCTCAGACAGATGCCCACATACGATAGGGATCTGTGTAGATTACAGGTAAATATTGATAGGGATCTGTGTAAATTACAGGTAAATATTGATAGGGATCTGTGTAGATTACAGGTAAATACTGATAGGGATCTGTGTAGATTACAGGTAAATACTGATAGGGATCTGTGTAAATTACAGGTAAATACTGATAGGGATCTGTGTAGATTACAGATAAATACTGATAGGGATCTGTGTAGATTACAGGTAAATACTGATAGGGATCTGTGTCGATTACAGGTAAATACTGATAGGGATCTGTGTAGATTACAGGTAAATACTGATAGGGATATGTGTAGATTACAGATTAATACTGATAGGGATCTGTGTAGATTACAGGTAAATACTGATAGGGATCTGTGTAGATTATAATGCGTCTTACCACGGTGCAGAATGTAGATATTGACTACTAGCATGGATATGTTATACGTTATAAAGGACAAGAAAATATTGATAGGGATCTGTGTAGATTACAGGTAAATACTGATAGGGATCTGTGTAGATTACAGGTAAATACTGATAGGGATCTGTGTAGATTACAGGTAAATACTGATAAGGATCTGTGTAGATTACAGGTAAATACTGATAGGGATCTGTGTAGATTACAGGTAAATATTGATAGGGATCTGTGTAGATTACAGGTAAATACTGATAGGGATCTGTGTAGATTACAGGTAAATACTGATAGGGATCTGTGCAGATTACAGGTAAATACTGATAGGGATCTGTGTCGATTACAGGTAAATACTGATAGGGATCTGTGCAGATTACAGGTAAATACTGATAGGGATCTGTGTAGATTACAGATTGATATTGATAGGGATCTGAGTAGATTACAGGTAAATACTGATAGGGATCTGTGCAGATTACAGGTAAATACTGATAGGGATCTGTGTAGATTACAGGTAAATACTGATAGGGATCTGTGTCGATTACAGGTAAATACTGATAGGGATCTGTGCAGATTACAAGTAAATACTGATAGGGATCTGTGCAGATTACAGGTAAATACTGATAGGGATCTGTGTAGATTACAGGTAAATACTGATAGGGATCTGTGTCGATTACAGGTAAATACTGATAGGGATCTGTGCAGATTACAGGTAAATACTGATAGGGATCTGTGTAGATTACAGGTAAATACTGATAGGGATCTGTGTAGATTGCAGATAAATATTGATAGGGATCTGTGTAGATTACAGGTAAATACTGATAGGGATCTGTGTCGATTACAGGTAAATACTGATAGGGATCTGTGCAGATTACAAGTAAATACTGATAGGGATCTGTGCAGATTACAGGTAAATACTGATAGGGATCTGTGTAGATTACAGGTAAATACTGATAGGGATCTGTGTCGATTACAGGTAAATACTGATAGGGATCTGTGCAGATTACAGGTAAATACTGATAGGGATCTGTGTAGATTACAGGTAAATACTGATAGGGATCTGTGTAGATTGCAGATAAATATTGATAGGGATCTGTGTAGATTACAGGTAAATACTGATAGGGATCTGTGTAGATTACAGGTAAATAGTGATAGGGATCTGTGTAGATGACAGGTAAATACTGATAGGGATCTGTGCAGATTACAGGTAAATACTGATAGGGATCTGTGTAGATTACAAGTAAATACTGATAGGGTTCTGTGCAGATTACAGGTAAATACTGATAGGGATCTGTGTAGATTACAGATAAATATTGATAGGGATCTGTGTAGATTACAGGTAAATACTGATATGGATATGTGTAGATTACAAGTAAATACTGATAGGGATCTGTGCAGATTACAGGTAAATACTGATAGGGATCTGTGTAGATTACAGGTAAATACTGATAGGGATCTGTGTCGATTACAGGTAAATACTGATAGGGATCTGTGCAGATTACAGGTAAATACTGATAGGGATCTGTGTAGATTACAGGTAAATATTGATAGGGATCTGTGTAGATTACAGGTAAATACTGATAGGGATCTGTGTAGATTGCATGTAAATACTGATAGGGATCTGTGTAGATTACAGGTAAACACTGATAGGGATCTGTGTCGATTACAGGTAAATATTGATAGGGATCTGTGTAGATTACAGGTAACTACTGATAGGGATCTGTGTAGATTACAGGTAAATATTGATAGGGATCTATGTAGATTACAGGTAACTACTGATAGGGATCTGTGTAGATTACAGGTAAATAGTGATAGGGATCTGTGTAGATGACAGGTAAATAGTGACAGGGATATTACTCTGCTAACGATATCTTCAGTTTGCAAGTAATTTATTTATTCGATTTTTTAGTATTCATTAGTTTTTTTGGTAAAATTTTTGGTAAAATTTGAAAGAACAACAACTGCCTCCAATAAAGAAGTTGAACTTCTTCCAAATAAAAGTTGCAATTTCCTGGGTCAGGGTGGTCCGGGTTGTGAGGAGACTATGTTGCTGGGTTTCATGCTCGTGTTTAATTATAATTAAATTATCTTGACCATCGTCTAGTTGGTGGGTTAGTCTTGTGCGATATAGTAAAACGCGAGATGTCTAGCGTTCAACTCGGTGGAGTTGTATTTTTTGATCAAAGTTAAATTCGGTGACAAATCTTTAAAACTACGGTCTGGATATTAAACGTCTGAGCTGAAAGAAAGATGTTTAACTTTAAATCGTTGAGTAAATTTTATATTTAGAATATAGGGAAAGAGTGGTGTAAAATGAAAATATTGGGGCTGTACAGCGCAGGCTTTAAAAAATTAAGCGTTGACCATGTAGATAAAAATTATGAGAAATATGATACATAAAAACATCATCAAAAGGCTTTTCAACTTGAGCATGTATTTAGACTTTTCCACAACTTTAGTAATTAATTATTATTAATAATTAATTTAAACATAATCTCTCTTCAGATTGACCAGTTGATTTTCAATATCATCCACAAAGAAAAGAAAGAAGTATCCAACGGTAGTAGTGAGACTAAGGAGTCAACCCCACCACCCACTAAAACTCAAAGCTAAACCGCTTCATTACCCTCTGGTGAACATTGATGACGTCATCAAAAATCACGTGACTTCATCACACCCCACGTGACGTCATCAAATGAGAACCAGCTCTGTTGAAGTAAGATTTGCTTGAGGTTGAAGAAACGATGTTTGAAGAAACGATGTTTGAAGAGTTAGATAGTGCCCGGGTGGCGATTCTTTGCTAGACTCCCTTTGAACTCTGTAGGACTTTCAATAGAAATTTAGGAATTGTTAGTGTCACGCACAAAAATCTGATACCCTAAATTTCGAGCACATATCCGGGCCGATGTTCATGTAAATTGTGCTGGTATTATTTTATGTCAGCAATACTGTCTAAGATTAAGAATACTAGGAAAGGCTTGTACCTGCTGAAAAATAATCGCCTGTTGAAAGAGGAGCTCGAAATTTCGGGGCTGCAGATTTGTTTGTGCATTAGGTGTAGAAAGACCAGTTTTGTAGTATTTTAAAGCTGGTGCAAACTCGAACGTTATCTTTGTAGTAGGACAGAAGTAATGACGAGGTCAGAGCAGGTGCTACAACATCAAACATATTGCGTATTTTTATCAATGTCAGATTTGTTTCATGATATCGTGTGCAATGTTTATTTTGGTAAAATGTTAAGTTTTTTTGCGCACGTAACCCTTATTTAATTTTCGATATTGGCAGATTTTTGCTTGGCATGGAGATTGTGTTTTCTATAACAGAAACTATTCAAACAGTTTAATTTATTTTCAAGGGAATGACATTTTAACGTTATTCATTGAAATTATTGCATTCAATTTGATCAGAATTCAAACTTTATTGATTAAGTTTCTTCGAATATTTATTAATTATTTAACTTGAAAATTATTTATTTGCACACTATTCCCGTAATGGGCTCTCTTTATTTTCTCTTGCATGGACTAAATGTACTAACGCAGCTATCTTTGTACATTCTAATGTGCCTAGTGATAGACTGGTAGATTATGCCATTTTTCAATGTGTTTATCTCTGTAGTTTACCGCGATCTCGTGTATTGACTGTAGTATTTTAACTTCGATCGGCATATTTGTCTAACAAAGGATTTTCTTATTTTGTACATCCACTTGAACTTTCAAGGATATGAACGTTGAATCTGTGATAAAGTGAGATAAATAAACAATTTATAAATCATTGTCCTGACAATGACTGACTTAGATCTTCACACTTTAGGAAATATATGGCCTAATGATCCAGCAGTAAAACTGAGACAAACAGAAACACAGAAAAACAGACAAACAGACAAACAGACAAACAGACAAACAGACAAACAGACAAACAGACAAACAGACAAACAGACAAACATACAAACAGACAAACATACAAACAGACAAACAGACAAACAGACAAACAGACAAACAGACAAACAGACAAACAGACAAACAGACAAACAGACAAACAGACAAACAGACAAACAGACAAACAGACAAACAGACAAACAGACAAACAGACAAACAGACAAACAGACAAACAGACAAACAGACAAACAGACAAACAGACAAACAGACAAACAGACAAACAGACAAACAGACAAACAGAGTTCGAATACCGCACAACCATAAAAATCACAACGCAATCATAATCTTGATGTATTTAAAGGTTTAGCAGATCCACCGTTACAAATCCTAACGCGTCAAGTCTAACGCGTGTGACATAACGTGTGAGAGAACCCTTGATCAGTGCGTGAGTTTCTTTCATGGAGGAAGCCTTGCGTGATGTCGATTTATCAGATCCCCTAACTTCTAACTCCTCGTTTCGTCTCCTCTCAGACATAGAACTAGCTGTTTTGGTCACCAAGGAACTAGGCTATCTCATATCAAAATGGGAAATGCGCCAAAGCTCTGGGAAGTTTCCCGGGTTGGGAATCAAATCGTTGAAGGAGCGAGTGAGAGGGGTTGATTGTTTGGCGGTAAATACAAAGTGTGATATGTGGAGTATTCTCCACATGGCACACCCCCTCCTGTTCCAGTCTTGTGTTCACAAATTCAGAGAAAATGAGCGGGAAGTATTCCTGGCACTCCGCCAAGATGTTGTCACCACTATCAGAAGTCAGCTGAGTACTGATGATGGGAATCCTGGAAGGTTAGATGGGCGAGAGACAGGGAATACAATAATGTTTCCCAAGCCGCGGGACTCAAAGTCGAATAAAGTGGCAGCATCGTACCCAGATTATGATGGTATTGGGGATCTGGAGCTAGTAGTGGTGTCTTGTAAGGAGCTTGATGTTATATTGACTGAGCAGTTCTTAAAGCCCAAACACAAGGATTTGTCAGATTTTGCAGATAAAATCAGACACGCGATTAACATAGACTCGGATGCAAGACATAAGCTTTCAAGGCTGAACAATCAAAGGGACGTTTTCCTAACAGACAGGGCTGTGAATAATTTTGCTGATGACCAATCTAGGGAAGTTTATGTCAACATCTGCAAGGACATTCGCAGTATCTTGAATCCAGATGTTAAGAGAAATCATTCTAATTCATCAAGCGACCCCGGACAAAATGTTGATGGAATGGACGAGAGATTTTTGATATCGGGAATTTTAGTTGGGGAAAATTTGACCTCCAAACATATCAAAACAATTTTTGTGCTTTTCTGTGTCTTTTTACTTTTCGTTGTAATCTCCGTGTTGATCTATGAAATGACAAAGTCGAAATAAATTTTTAATCTGTAAATGTTTTGTTTTATAACATATTAGATATGTTTAAATTTATCAAAATGAAATTATTTGAAGGTTTTTTTTTTAATCAATAAACTTTCAAATTGGTACACAAATACATCATTTTATTTCAAAGAAAATATCGCCGAATGACCTTACATGCCTTGACAAGTGACCGAGTGTAAACAAAATAAGGGACACCGAAACACCAGTTGACCAGTAAACTGATCATAGCAATTACATCGGGCCCTAAATGCACCTATAAGTGAAGCGATGCTGCAACCAAGGCATGCTAGGTTTATTTCATTGAACTAATAAGGTTACAGCCTAAAATATAAATATAATAAATAACAATGTACCATAAATCATAATTATAAACACACTTTATTTAACATATTTTATTAATTATAAATGTCGAGGAATACAATATTCGATCTCGTTGTGTGTTGGCAATACAAATTATAATGTACCTTCTCAAAAACAATGAACCAGTTTATTTATTAACCAGTTGACGGTTACCAGGTGACGGTCACCAGGCGATGGTACAGACCCCAGAGCTCCCAGTATCGTAGCATTGTCCTGAACTGTTGTCTTCTTCGTATTTAAAATCTGTGAATAAAAAACGTCAAAATAGTTATTAGCACTAGCAGAAAGGTCAACAAAGTACAAAAAACTCACTTCACGTATATATTGTACATCATGAAACTAGAGTACACACTACACTACAGTAATTGTCCAACAAGCATTAGTATTTAATTATTATTTAATTAAGTAACCACTGACCCGGATTATCTGTAACGACACTGCTAGCGACTAACATTCCGCCCTCTCCTCCTCCGTCCTCCTTTACCAGCTCAGCTACATACTTTACCTCCCTTGTGAGATCTTTTTTGTCTGATACTCCCCGTTTTGTGTTGCCACGACATGTGGGGCCCTTTTGTGTTGTGGTCAGTTCTACAGGCAACACCTGACCAGATTAAATTAAAAATCTAATTGCGTTTGGTTTAATTGCCTACACAAAAGATTGTACTGATCGAACCAAGTCTCCAAAACTGAATTGAATTAATCAAAATCAAATCAATACGAAATTAAAACCTTTTAGACCTCTTTGAAGTGATAAAGCTGTTGCGTTGACTTTTCCGAAGACTCATTATCAGTTAAGCTGATGACGCTGTTAAAAGCCATGAGAAAAACCAATATCGAGGATATCATAATAGAGTATTGTAAATGCAAATCAAAATGGATCGAACTGAATACTTAGTTAGGGATGTGTGAGTAACTTGAAAATGAAAGATAAAGAGTCAAGTAGGAAATAGGTCGAGTACAATACAACAGTTTTATACATGTCATGCTTGTTATGGCTGTTATACTAAGTACTATTGTACATTCAGTTGAACTTATGAACTTTAACATTCAAACTGCGTAGTCTGTAGTCTTACTCTTTTCTTTCCGTTTAATTGTACATTTTGAATTATACTTTAACTAATCCAATCTTCCCATGCCCTAGACTATAGACTAGCACATGTATACTTTCCCCCAACAGTTTTGCGTCGAGGTTATGATCAGCAATCAGGTAACTTCATTGAAATGATCAGTAAAAGCTTACTATATAACATTAACATGTAACAACTAAGTTCATTTAGCCGGCCCATGCATGTATTTTATTTACGCGTACTTTACTCCGTGACGAACTTAACGGGTGATACTCGTAAAATATCTGTTCCATACATCCAGGACTGTCGACGAGTCCAACTCGGCGCGCGTCCTGGTAGGTTGTAAACCTACAATGACGAACTTATTAAAAGATTTGAACTACAAAGTAGATGATACAGTTACGAGTTAATTCATAAATTATTTTTATGGTTATGTTCATGCTTCATTATATAAAATACCAGCCAGATCGAGCAAGCGCTTTTGTAGGTTTACAACCTACCAGGACGCGCGCCGAGTTGGAACAGATATTTTACGAGATTTTACGAGATTTTACAGATATTTTACGAGTATCACCCGTCGAGCTACTCGCATTGAGTAAGACTAAGAGCAAGCAATAAACTAGCAAGCTAGGTAAATGTGGAAATGGGAAAGAAAAGAGTAAGAGACTAGCAAGTGCAAGCTAAATAAAATTGTTAATTGACGATGCCAACCCTCTTCAGCTCATATATAGTTACTTGACGGCACTCAGCCTGTCATTCCACCGAATCTCTATTGATTGCTCCAATCAGAGCTCTTTCGCTTGAAGTAGCGCGCGACCGCCGAAGGCGGCTCTATATTACTTGCGAAACAAGCGCGTTATAACGCAGTACACAGTACGCGTAGACTCATGGCTAGGTGAACTCTATTGATTGTAGCGCGAGATCGGTGAGATGCGCTACTGTGCCGCGCCGAGCTGAGATGAATTGACGTCGTCAATTAATCTATTGACTATTTTATGTTTATAAACATTATAGCCTGGGGACCTCAGGTAATTGTATATAGTTGCTGATCTAATTACTAGCAACTAGTTACTATGTACTAGAGCCATCGCGCTTGCGCCTTGCAATAGCTTGACGTTGTCATACGTTGTATGACCCGCCGAGCACGAGTGCGCGGCTCCACCTGTATCGTTGTAGCGCGATGCACTACTGGGTCGCGCGCGCGCATCCAATAATGCTTCTCGCAACCACACGTATGCAGATCGGCGAGATGCGAAGGATTGACATCGTGAATCAAGTTACAAACCTATAAACGTTAAACGCAATTACTGGCAACATTAATTTATTGCAGCTTGTGCATTGTAGCTTAACAAATTTATTAATTGTTGCAGAAAATAATTTTTGGAGGACGTATAACACGACTCGCTTCGCTTTTTATTTTACTATTTACTAAAAAATCAGATGTGCAGCACAATTATAATATATACATATTAGACTAAAACTAAAATTTTTATAGTTGAAGTCAGAATTTAGTTTTGCATTTTTAAATTTTTCAGCTGTAACATCAAACATGTAAAATTACATTTGACGTTCACATCAAAACTTACTTGCTCCAAATTTAATTTATTAGTAATTCATAATTGCTATTTCATATTTTCTGGTTAACCATGTTGTTAATGATTTGGCCCGGCGCGCGCTACTTCGTAGCACTTGCCATCGGGAGAAGAAAGCGGCGCGCGCTACTTCGAAGAAATTAAGACGAGTAACATCCGTCAAATTTTCTGGTTGAAGGATGTTACTAGTACAGTGATCGTCTAAATTTCTTCGAAGTAGCGCGCGCCGCTTTCTTCATTCTTTTCGGAAAGTAAATGGCTCGAGGCAAATGCATGCTACGATGTACGAAGTAGCGCGCGCGGGGCTAGTCCATTAATTCACCTAAATTAACCATGTGCTTTTGCGCCATGCACTGCGGGCGCGCTTATTTCACAAGTAAAGAAAATGTTTTTTACCGCCGGCCGGGAGTCGGGCTGCAAGCGCAAGGCTCCGGCTCTAGACAGAGACAGTCCATTAACAACAGACAATTTTCTAGACGCCAAAAAATGTTATTTCATCATTTATGTACTGAAAAATACACTTTCAAATACAAAATTTATCGCCCCACATTATGGGTCCGACTCTCATATACCCATGTCACATGTGTCTACGCGTACTGCGTGACGCGCTTGTTTCACGGCGGTCGCGCGCTATATAGTTATACTGCAAGCGAGAGGGCTCTGGATAGAGCAAGGTCCGCCTAATTGCCTCACGTTCGCGTGGTAGGCCTAGGCATGCCGTGCAAAAGTACGTGGCCATATTTTGGCTCGCGTCAACGATCTCGTCAGCGAAGCAATCTCTCTCGTCAGTAATATCTCGTTAGTGGTCAGCGAAGTAAGAATGATAGTTCGCGCGGCGCATCGCAGCGGCAAAATCCTCCAGGATCACGCGACATGAGACAAAAATTACTCCTTTGACTTGCTCAAGAATATGCACAAGTATTATATGCAAAATATCACAAGAGAACACCGTTGTCTCATATCCTATTCTTTCACTTCTCTAACCTTCCTTTTAAAAGCAGCCATAATTTTTAGCATGTTCACTTGTCCCCTCAGGCCTGGATGCAATACACATGCAGCTTTGGACAACAGTAGAAAGGCTCGAAAATTGTATTTTACGGAAAACGAATGTTTGCCGATCAAAATAATTTTCAAGGTTTTCCATCCAAAAAATAATATTTGGTTACTTCAACTGAATTCGGGGCTCAAAAATTAACTATGTCAGTAGTTTAGAAGGGTCGCATTGAAATTATATCTTTTTGGGCCTAGACAACCCCAACTTATATTAGATTATTATATTTATAGATTAAAATCATTCCTTGATAAGATATCCCAGTTTTAGACTGTTAAACTTTCTTGCTTGCATAACTCTTCTCGTATAAAAAGGAGCTTTCCTTCAAAATATGTGTAATGGACTCATAGCTATGCAAATTTTATAGACTGATGATGAGGATCCGCTAGGGTTGGTTGTAAAGTTTGGAACCTTTATATTAATGACTTAAAAAGTTGTAATCAGTGATACTATCTATCTGAAATATTCATATGTTATGCTCATTGCTGCTTTGAAATACTTAACCATGTTAAAATTCAGATGGTGATGCACCCATTGAATGTCTGTGGATGGATCTAAAACTACTTCTAAGAAAAAGAAACGAGCTGCATTAACTGTTAATATAAATGGAACTAGATACGATGTAGTTCGACGATGTGCAGAAGCTCTTGGGTACAAAACCACTACCGAAAATGATGAATCCTTCATCATTTGGTCTGACCACACAATAAATGCAGAGAGATGTGCTGAATTAAAACCTTATCAGAGAATCAATCATTTTCCTGGTATGGGGGAGATTGCCAGGAAGGATTGTCTTGCCAGAAACCTTCAGAAGATGCAAAAGACACAATCAGATGAATATGATTTCTTTCCCAAGACTTGGACTTTGCCAGCAGACTACACCACTCTCATGAATTATTATCTGGATTTGAAGAAAAGGAGAAAATGTAAAACATTTATATGTAAGCCATCAAATGGTGCCATGGGCAATGGAATACATCTCCTTCAAAACTTGGAGAAATTAAATATGCATGACAATTTGGTGGTACAGGAATATCTAGAAAGACCTTTGATTGTAGATGGAATGAAGTTTGATCTTCGCATTTATGTGTTAGTCCTGTCAGCTGATCCTTTAAAGATATTCTTATATGATGATGGACTTATGAGATTCAGTACTAATGAATATATGCCACCCACTGAGAAAAACTTAGATAACATGTACATGCATCTGACTAATTACAGTATAAACAAGTCAAGTGAAACGTATGACAACTGTGATGATGAAAACAAGGGAAGTAAGCGAAGTATCAAATACTTAAAAATGTGGATGGCAAGTCATAACTACAGCTTTACTATACTTTGGAACAGCATAACAGATATTGTAATCAAGACACTGATTGTTGCTGAACCATATTTGCTTCATACTTATCGCATGGCACGTCCTGGAACAACATCTTGTTCATCAAGCAGTGTGTGCTTTGAAATTCTTGGTATGGATATTTTTATTGATCGAAAGTTAAGACCCTGGCTTTTAGAAGTGAATAGGAGTCCAAGTTTTGGCTGTGATAGCAAAGTTGATGCAGATATTAAATTTGATGTTATAAGAACTGCTTTCAGTTTGTTGAATTTAAAACCAAGTGAAAAGTGGAGAGCTTTAGCTGCACAAAAGCAACTGAGTCGAGCAAGACTGTTAAAACCAAGAAACAACTTGCAAAGGAAAACTCAGTTTAGCGTCAGAAAGACATTCCTACGATCTCAGCTGCATGAGTTAAGAAAAGTGTCAGAGCAGACCAAGTATGAAGATAAAAACTCTGGGAAATATCATAGAATATTCCCTGCACGTTCCTCAAAGCAACCTGAATACATCAAGATGCTCAATGGGGCTTTCAAAACGTTTTTAGCTGGCAGAGGTAGCATGTTGGAACAAAAGTCCCACCACGGAATGCTGCAACATCTCAGAGAATCCGAGTTACTCGACATGTTACAACAGTGCGAGTTTGAAGAGCAAACAGCTCAAAGTCAGTCCAGTGTTCAAGCTCAACCCAAACCTGTACCCAAGATACAACCCCTTGCTAAGTTGAGACCCTGGTCATCTCCTCCTGTGTCACCGTTCTTGTTTTCTCGATACACATCCTCCCCTTCCTCACTTCCAAGTAACATCAACACTTCTCATGCTGGTTCAGAACACAATTTACATTCTTACGGGGAGAGGGCACGGAGGTTACGCATGAACGACGATATGGAAGTCTCCATGCGAAAATCTAATGCCCTACTTCTCAAACAGATCGATTCTCTTTTTAAAAACGATCGTGAGACTACGAGTGGGACACCGGACTCTCAGGAGACTTTTAAAAAAGACCTTAGTCAAGTTGCCAGAAAACCCCAAATACAAAAGGTTCCTTTCAGGTCAAAAAAAATAGTGTTCAATTCAATAATCAAGTACAAGAATAAGTCTATGTTATCATGCAGCATCAACAATCTCGGGGAGAACTCATTGGATTTGTCAAGACGACCTATACGGGCTAAAAAGTGTTGCCACAACCGGTTTTGTTCCTGTCCCGAGTTGTGTTCAAGACTGGGGAACTATCACATCAAGTCGTCACGATAGCTCCAAGTTTAGGAATTAAATATCTTACTAGAATTCAGTACTTACAGGTGTGCTACTGGTTCCGTTGAAATGCAATAGAAATGTGGTTGAATCTGGGGTCTTATCTTCTACTACATGTTATTCTGATTAATAAAAACTCAGTTTCGACTACATTTCGTCGGCACTTGGACCACCCAATCTCGATGGGACCTGTAGAATACCTGGCATTCAACATATCATACAATATTTATTGCATGCTTTGTACTTATAATGCACTATTCTAAATGCTGAAAAAAATATATGTTGTACCGTTTTATCGTATCAATCTCATATTTTCTTATCTAAAATTATTGCTGAAAATGTTAATCCTACTTGTTTGTACTCATATTTAACCGTTCCAACCGTATTAACTTCAATTAGTTTAAATTGTATATTAATGGACTGTTATTTTAGCATTATAGATTATAGTTTATAGGCTAGAATTCCAATTGTAATAATATATAAATCCAGATTTTTGTAAGGTAATATTGATTGAGTATTTGTGAGGCGATATTTTAACGAGTAAATAGAAGCAATAAAATGATTATTTGTTCAATTGATAATATGTGATTGATAGTCAACTTGTGAATTATTATTCTCTTGATCCCTTTAGCTCTGTCTGTTCTTGCTTGGTCTTATTACTTTATTAACATGCAACATTAAAATAATAATTATGCAACGTACGTTAAACACTGTACGTGCGAATAAGAAAATTAAAGTTTTGAGGTCGAGCTCACTCCACAATGATTTTAAAACAACCTCTTTTAAATTATATTTATCTCCTCGTTAAGGTAGTAGTCAATATGGACGAGACAAAGCGACCACTGAAGATTCCTGCTGAATTTACCATGTATGCAGAGAAAAACGAACTTTTCTCCATGTATGAGGTATGTTAGCAGCTGCTATAAAAGCGATATTTTGCGAATTCAGATCACTTTCTTTAATTTCTTAATTATAATATTACAAATTTGCAAAAGGGTAACCCAGAATTATTGCTAACTTAAGCAACAAATTTGCTTCCTCTAGCTCTCCTGCTGGAGAGCTCGACAAATGCTTTAGTCGAGATGTTATTGTGATAAGTGTTTTCATTTAGAATTGGCTGGGCCCCCTGGAATGAGCCCAAAGTAAGAGACCCAAGAGAGCACTAAATTAGAGAACACTTAAAAATAAAGTTAATTTCAGTAACCTCATTTTCAACTCACAACACTCCTAGGCCACTCTGGATAAATAATATTTAACAATATTTTCAGCGAATGATTCAAGAGGTGATATGTTCCCAGCCAACCGACCCTCTTGAGCATATGATAAATTTCTTGCATCGTGAAAATGATGACGGTAGGTTACACTTAGTTCCATTTATGTTTAATAAATTACTTTAAACTGTTTATGTTATTTGTTGACGTAGGAAATACGCATTTATTATTGGAAACGGACGAGTTACGAGCTTAAAATAAATCGTTAGACTTATTTCTTTGCACTTCAAAGTGATCCACTGCACCATTATTGAGTGTTTTAGCACCTTTAAAGTTTAAACTGTATCATTCTTCCGTCGGTAAATTATTGAAGACACGATATATCCATTTAATGAACTGAAACTTGTTATGACTAATATATAATAAATACTAACATACTTACATACCAACATACTGACACGCCAACTTTGTGTCAGTTCCTCAGATAATGATGATTGGACCTCCGGCCTCCGGCAAGGGCAGCATTGTAAGTAGCAGACTTTAACTAATGTCACGTCACATGCACACATCAATTTACTTGATTGTGTGTGCACACATACACTAGTGAATACTACACATTATATCGGCGCATATTTTATCATCATCTCCAAGCGATATGTAAAGGGATAAGATTTTAAAGCCTCTGAGAAGTATAAAGCTCTAAAGTAACCACGTGATATTGGTCACGTGACACTAAGCTTATCACGTGATATATTCCAGGCTCAGCTGGTGAATAACGAGAGTGGAATTCACAAGATCGACACAGCAGATCTTCTCACAGTTGAAATCGAGCAAGTTAAGAAGGTACGGTTGACCACAATTTAACGTGATATCTCCACTTTTTAAGTTTTCAGAAAAATTAATTTTTATTATTCTCTAGAAATATGATTATAATTCGAACCGCAAAATATAATCGAATATTTCTCGTTTTAACTCCTCATATTATTCAGTAACCGCGGTTTTTTAGAATCACACCACTACTGATATCGACATTTTAATATTTAACATAATGTTGCTTATTGACTTTTTGTGAACTGCAAAAATTTATGGTGGACTGCATGCTATCGGATTGAAATCTACAATAATTTTGATCAAACTGTTAATATAAAGTTATAAAATTAGCTATTCTTGTAAGTGACGCTCTGTAATGTCTAGGCAAAGTCGTCGCTAGAAAGCGATGAGGACATCCCTGGAGATATTCTTGGAGCGCTGGTAAAAGAGAGGATATCTAAAAAGGATTGTGCTGATAATGTGAGTCTGTCTGTAATCTCTTGTAGTCCCATTTTTAATGAACATATAGATGAAATAAAGGTTAATATTTAGCAAATAATTAATAGATTAAGGTATTAATACTGAAGGTATCGGTGTCAGGTATAATCGAGGTATGGTGATCAATTGTCCATCAGTAGTTCTACTCAAAACCAGCCTCAATATTCTCCAATTATTACAGTCCACCTTAACTAATACATCATCATGGCAGAAACTAATTTTGTATCGTACCATTTCAACTGTCACTTGCCGGGCCCAAAGTCATCTTGTTTCTCCGGCTACTCTTCTCATTACTTATTATTTCGGAAAGTCACCCGGATTTCCTTTTTATGAACATATAGATGAAATAAAGGTTAATATTTAGCAAATAATTAATAGATTAAGGTATTAATACTGAAGGTATCGGTGTCAGGTATAATCGAGGTATGGTGATCAATTGTCCATCAGTAGTTCTACTCAAAACCAGCCTCAATATTCTCCAATTATTACAGTCCACCTTAACTAATACATCATCATGGCAGAAACTAATTTTGTATCGTACCATTTCAACTGTCACTTGCCGGGCCCAAAGTCATCTTGTTTCTCCGGCTACTCTTCTCATTACTTATTATTTCGGAAAGTCACCCGGATTTCCTCATTTTAATCTACCATTGGATGAGAACGTGACATCACCTCTACTCTACATACACCTTGTTTCATATTGAAACTTATTATGATGCTGGTTGATTATTTATCCATTTATTTACGAAATATTCAACATTATTTAAGTAACCAATTCGTCATGACTCAACCGATTTTTTTCATGTGCGCCATCTTCTTTCTCCTTGTATTGATCTGCTATCAAATTAAATTTCTCTCAAATTTGTTATTGGGTAAATTCGGATTGGTCTTCCACCTGTGAAAGAGCTGGAGGTGGGGCAAAAGAGGCGCACGCATTCCACACTGAACCTAAAATGGTGTCAGCCGCAAAATTATAAAAGGGTTATGTCAGCCCTTGTTAGTACTTTAGTTTGTTTACCGATCCTTCTGCAATCTCTACCTCTGATATATACTCAACAATGGGAATGTGCACATCTCGCAAACAACACCTGGAACCAGAAGAAATCCCCTCTCCGAAGCTGTATCAAGAAGAAGACCTCCCCTCCTCCGAATCCATAAACACATTCGAATCCTCCTACTCTCTACAAGAGAAGATTGGGTCTGGAGGTTTCGGCACAGTCTTCAGAGTTACCCACATCCTCTCTGGAGCAGATCTGGTGGCTAAGAAGATCAAGACAGACCCAGATAATAAATTACCAGCAGAGATAACCCTGATGACAGACCTGGAGCATCCCCGGATAATCAGACTCTTGGAGTTCTACACCACCCCCCGACACCTCCTCCTTATCCTGGAACTCCTCCCTGGCTGCTTGGACATATTCGACTACATCGACATAAAGACCAGGATCCCGGAGCAGAACACCAAGTACATTCTCCACCAGCTCACATCCGCTCTATCCTACCTGCACGAGGAGAAACAAATAGCTCACTTGGACGTTAAACCTGAGAACATCCTGATACAACCCTCTACTGAAGACATCAAGCTCATTGACTTTGGAGCAGCTCAGAGAATCAGACCAGACCTCCACTCCACCTTCAAAGGAACCAAACAGTATGCCAGTCCTGAAATCCTCTTCACTGGTCACTACGACCCTGTGGCTGCTGACATCTGGGCTTTGGGAGTGACTTTCTACAAAATGATAATGGGGCACTTACCCTTTAAGAGGCCACGTGACTATTTGAGACCTCTAACTTTTACCTACACTGGAGTATCAACAATTTGTCTGGAGACGATAGCTATTATCCTGAACCCTAACCCAGATCTGAGACCGCTCACTATAAGAGACATTATGAGCTGCCATTGGATGAGAACGTGACATCACTTTACTCTACCTACACCTTGTTTCATATTGAAACTTTTGATTATGATTTATTTATTGATTATTTATTGATTTACTGGTTATTTATGAAATATTTAACATTATTAACACAAATCGATTCGTATCAATGCAGTCATGACTGAACCAATTATTTTATAGACCGTCATCTTGGGTATTATACAATAATTTATTATATTTCAAAGAGAAGATTATTAAATTTTGCATTTAATCTGAAAAAATGAGATGTGAAACAGATTAAGAAGTTATCAAACATATTGTGTATCTCGTTATCAAAATTGACTGGGTCACGTGATCAGGTAAGCCAATCACCTGATCACACGTAACGAATTAACTCGTTATGCTTCATATACCAAACACAATTCAATAAAATTTAGCTCGATCTGACTATCAAACTATCAAATAAATGCGAAAATGAACCTTCATTTGAAAAAATGGACACTAATATTTTTCTAGTTGACAAGTAAGTCATACCAGAAAGAATTATTTCAATTGGGCACTCAGTGACTGAGCTATTAAGGCCAACGTATGGGTACTGACTTTTGGCCCACCATGTATAATATAATGATATGTAGATGTAAGTGATCTTGCTTAGTGATTCGATTTAATACAGCGTTGATTTATTAAATTTGAGGTTATAATAGCATTTTTTAGTAAGGATTCTGCAACTTCTTTATAATACACCATTGTTCAATTTAATTTGAGGTTAAAATAGGAGTTTTAATGACCGCAAACTAGTCGCTCATGCATCTGCTTGACGATATGGTTAAAAAGGTCTTCAGGAGATTAGTTATGGAGCGCGCGATCAACAGTTTTATTGATTGAGTTGCGCAAAATTGTGCGCGTTGCCATGGTTACCAACAGATAATGTCCGCCGTCACGTCAAAGTTGCCCAAATTGTACGTCTGTTTACTGAATCTCTTAATTGTTGTCACTAGCATTGACAAAACAAGTAATATATGCAAGGTGTGCACGAAGAATTGCTTGCTCTGATCACTATGCTTCACAGGGCTGGATGTTGGTTGGCTATCCAAAGACAAGAGATCAAGCTCTTGCTCTCCAACGACATGGAATATTTGCCAAACACGTTGGTTAGTACTTACTTATTACTCCTTAATTTAAGAAGCCGATCATTTAAATATGATTCCTGTGGTTATGATCACTCGGCGCTTCGGCCGAGTTTCACCATGCTGCAACATTTCTGATTTGTTACTTTTTTAGTGTTTATGGAAGCTCCTGACATGGTCTTAATCGAACGGTTCATGGGTAAACGTGTAGATCCTCAAACTGGAGGTAAGCATATCTGATCTCAATTTTTTAACCGATCATTGACGAAATGGTATATTTAAAAAATCTGTCTTGCATTATTTGACTTCAATTATGATTTCAGGGATCTATCATTTAACGTTTGAGCCTCCCGAGAGCCCAGAGGTAGTTAGACGAATAAAACCAATCGAGAATCAATCAGAAAAGTTCCTCAGGAAACAGCTCCTTCACTATCACAGGTTTTTATCTTTTGCTGAATCTTCCATGGAGCAGATTACTGAGTTTATGTAACGATAATTTGACTACTTGAACAGAGCCATTGACTGAGTGTTATAAGAATATTTATTTCAGGAATATTGAAGGAATACGTGCCGCGGTTTCCAAAGGAACCACTAAAATTATAAATGCTGATCAGCCGAAAACAGACGTTTTTGCTCAAGGTTAATTTTTTATTTAACTTCCATATTAAGCGGGTTTGTGTTCATTGGCACCTAAAAGATCTCATGATATAGTTGTGAAATCCAGACAAATTGCTCTGCTAACTCCAGTTACCCTGTAAGATGTAACATCTGGCACTCTAATCTAACTCTTGATCCTCACTCTAAAGTCAGCTCTGATCTTTTGGAATTATCAAATAATATGATATATTGACCACGTGTGCTCACAGTGTACCACTTCTTGTGCCAGCAAGCTCGCTCAGTGGCTCCGCAATGTCCACGTGTTATTCTTCAAGGACCTCGTGGTAGTGGGAAGGGAACACAAGCTGCTCTGTTGACAGCCAAATATGGTGTCGTGAACAGTAAGTATCTTCTTTCGTGATTGGTTAAAGTATGCAGCTAACATGAAATATTTACTCAAGTTTCAGCTTGTACCGCCAGATTTCCTGGATGATGAATTAATCATATAATTTCATGCTCGTGTTTGTTTGACCCAACATATCGGTAAATAACCGTGTATACACTGCAGTTTCTATGGTGGAACTAATAAAACAAGCGATAGCTGATAATTCGAAAGTTGGAAACATGATGAGCACATACATCGACAAGAAGATGATGGGTAGGTTACTAACTAGGTTACTAACTAGGTTACTAGGTATACATCAGTTAGATATACTAACTGAGAAATATTCAATCAATATTCAATTATGATTTCAGTAGATTAATCGTTATCTAAATCTCACACTGTTCAAGGTGTAATTTTAGCTTAAAGTTGTATAACAACTTTTGATAATTAAGCAACTCAGGTCGATCAAAAAACAATAGGCATCTCATGGACGTTGGTCCTTGTAAGTCTAAATCCATAATTGTATTTTCAAACTCAGAACAGCACAACTTTTTGGTATAGCAGAGTGGCTGAGTCTACTTCTTTAATCTCAATGAAGCAGGAACATTTTTGTCATTTGCCTTATAAAATCTTGGAACAGCACACACGTTCATAGCTCATAGCACAGATTCAGAAAATGCCTTAATCGGCCGACTTTTTATTTTATATTTCTTGAAAATTTCTCCCACTTTTTTATTTAAAATGGAACCGTTTTTCAAAAAATAATAGACATACGATAGTTTATTTGACAAACTGAAAACAGCACTAAAAACCAAAATGCAGTATTTTGATAAAACAATAAACAATTCCATCATGATGTCATTGTAATACAGCCTACCACCAGGAATCATCTTACTCTTACTCCGTAACATACTAGCTTGGAAACGTACTGATGTGTTTAGTTTAGAACGATTAAACTTCCCATCTTCTAGTGGGTCCCAAGCACGGATATATTTCTGAGCTCACTGTTGTTCCCCCCTCATGTTTCATTTCATCCAAGTTTACCCTTCCTATTCTGCAGATATTGTCAGTATTTAACACTCGTAACTCCTCAGTGCCAGATAACATAGTGTTGAAATGTCTAGTGGAGCGACTTAGTAAAATTGATTGTGCAACTAAAGGTTGGGTTCTGAGAGGATACCCCAGATCCAGACATCAGGCTGAGGCGCTTAGTGAGGCTGGATATGCTCCCAACAGGTTTTTATAACTAATGAATAGATATTTTTAACCATTTTATCGGCAGGTTTTTTATTCATTAAACAGCACTTCGTGTTAGATCGTTAAGTGGCTCTATCATAACAACCAATGAATGGCTGTTTTGAAAGTAATCAAGGACCGTTCTCGCAAGATGATTGGTTACTGCAACTAGCGTAGCTGCATAACAGGGGGCCTCTTTGTGAATGTTTGTTGTGGAGTTGGGTTTGCTAAAGGAGGATTGTCAAATCAATTCAATTTATCTACTTGCAAACCTTTCATTTGTTTATCAATATGATAGAATTATGCATGAACCGAAATATATTCAAAAATGTTTGAATGCAACATCTTGAATGGGAGCATCTCGTTCAATATTTTAGCATGTTTAGCACATATTTTGCCAACGGAGGGTCACAAAATCCTATTTCAATATCCGAGCATCACAGAATATGAAACAATTACAAACAACTACTTCATAGCACTTACTTTTTTTCTAACGCTGTATTAACTATTACTTTTATTATCTTCAGAGTGTATTTCCTGGAGTGCCCCACTGACACGATAGTAGAAAGATTATCTCTGAGAAGATCAGATCCCGTCACAGGACAGCAGTATCATCTCATATACAATCCTCCTCCAAGTCTTGAAATGAAGCGACGACTCAAAACGGTGAGTTAACCTTTCAAACAATATCCATGGATAAATCAGTAGACTTCAGGTTAAGAAACCACAAATCTCCCAAAAACCTTTTCCAAACCACGAAACTGAACCAACTTCCACATTTCAGCACCACAAAGACGCAGAATCGGCAGTAGACGAAGACGTGTTATCGTACGACAGCCAAGTTGAGGAACTAATGGACTACTACACGACTAGTCAGAGTGTAAATGCGGATCAAGATCCCCACACGGTGTTCGAGAGTATCGAGAGTTTACTCACAAAACCTCTTCCCAAACAAGCCCTTAAAGCGACGCTGTAGAATCGATAATAACTTATTTCTGCTTTTGTGGAGCGGTTTTCTGAGAAATGTTTTGACTATTAGTATTGAGACTGTCGTTGGACCAATGTTTGGACATTTCGGAGCATTTTTGTGTATTGATATGCTGAGAAGCTAATTGTAGATGAATCGAAAGAAACTAATCTGTTAAATTTAAAGATTGTACATAGAACACTTGTCATTGTTGTTTTTAGGTTTCAATGAGAAGGAAATGTTATTATTTACGTCATAACAATTAGTGATCGTTTACACATTACGTAAGCTAGATTTTGGCTATTGAATACCCCTTCCCCCATCATAAGCCACAGCTGTACACATAAGCCAAAGCTATTGTTAGAAATTACACTAGCGTAAGCCTTTCCAAACCCCTTCCCCTAGGCTGGTTTACGTAATATGTCAGCGATCACCAAGTAAAACTTAAAGAATCAAAAATAAAATGTTGACAACGGCGCTCATGACTGTGGCAAAAGAACTTTACCGGGGCCCGCAACCTGGCCGAAGGGGGCCCTACGGAAAATTTCAGTTAATTTAAGTTTCAGTTTGTAAATTTCAAAACTCGCCCCACATAACGTCATTTAATTCCAGTAATTTTGCACCCTTATAGTTAATACTGCTCCCAGATATACTTCTATAAATAGACGGTACGAGTTTTTGGAGTGCCCTAGTTGGGCGCCTGGAGAAGATTTTCTCTAGCAAGCTGTGCCCACCAGCAAGCTGGTGGGCACAGCTCTGGTGGACCAGATCAAGCTTTACAAGTCGTTGGGATTGTTCAACACGTATTCCTGCAGAGAAATGCTTGTGGCAAATTTGTTCTCAGATGATAATATGTATTGATGTTAATTGTACCCTAATTATTGTTTGGAGGTAAATCGTCGTAGCTCGCTCACAATATTTGAAGAAATGGAAGCGATACTTGACTTCTGCTTCCCTGTGATCAGCCTGAGCCACTTCCTAAAATCCTTCATGCGTGTCAAGTAGATGACGACATCAAGTGTGGTGTTGAGAGTATTCAAGAGACATCTTGCCAGCGGCCACGAATACCAAAACATAAAGTAGTTTGAAAATATTCCAGAATCCAGGCCAAATTCGTCTTTGTAGATAGTAGATAAGCAAACGTAAAGAGCGCATAAAGAGAAGATTGGAAGGTAGCAAAACAGAAATACTCCAGTGAAGATAGTGATGGTAATGGCAGCACTGCGGTGTCGTGCTTGTCTAGAACCAGAGGATATTACTGGTTTTGATAGGAGAATTATTGTGCTCAAAATGAAATTGATGAATGTCAGGACGGCAGGTAATCCGGTTTCAATAGACAGCAAGGCATATTCGGCCGTTATGTAGGAGCTTTGGAAGTGGTTTAAAGTGCCTGTTTGTGTGTCAAAGAACGGGTAACAGTACCCAGAATCTGCTCCATATATCACCCCAAATCCAACTAAGAAGTTGGCTACTTGACGCAGTCCCAATACAAGTAAAAGAGGTAAATGTAAAGGACTACAATGACTGCGTTCTTTCTGATCCCGTAAAAAGGACAGGCGATGGCTATTGTTCTGGATGCGCTTAGCAGCAGAACAGTCATGGGGTAGAATTTAGTGCTGATATCAAATACTACGGTCCAAAAATTACAAAACATCTTTTCATCGAACAAGCCAGGATTCCTGCCGTTGAGGAATGCCTGAATAACTGGAATCTGACACAAGCAAATAACAATATCAATGTAACACAAGTATTTATAGAGTCTTGGTGCTAGTTCTTTCTTGCTATGGAAGTATCCAAAAGCCAGAGAGTTGCCCACAAAGCCCAAAAATGTGGCCACTAAAGTTAACATTCCGATAGTTATATCCCACGTTACTGAGGGATCACCTGAGGGCATATCTTTGTGCATCCAAACATGATCTTCATAGCTGTGGTTTTCTGCCATAATCTCTGCACAAGTTTGATGTAGTAATTCCCTTAATATATAAACGGTAAAATAATATATAAAACGGTACCAACGAAACTATAGTGTAGGACGAAATGGAATAGATGCCTTATATCGTTCGGGGCGTTATCTCTAAAAATGGTAATTTTATAGTTCGTTTTGTCTTGTGCATGAAAGGGCTATCGAAAACCAAAGGCGTAGAGGAATTGAGCAAATTATATCGCAAATTTGTACATCTAATAGCGCAGTTCAGAAAAACAAACTGAATAGTCAATACAAATAAATGGTAGGGTCAGAATCTGGCACGGTGAAATAATTTACATCGTACAATAACAATACCTTCAATCTTCATTCAATTCTGTTCTTAACAAAAGTTCAAAAAATAAATCAATTGTGAATTGTCAATGAATTCTTACAGTTTGAAAAATGCAACGAATGATAGTAATTCAAATTGGTAATGGTATTGAATCAAATTCCTCGCTTTGCGATGTCAGATATGAATAAAAATCCTCAAATATGTAGTTTAATCCAATTAGTTGCACTACAATAGTACAATAGCCAACTTTGTCGATAGTTATAGATTATAGAATAGTCGAGAATCTCGGAACAAACAGTGGTACATGTATACAAAAGTATTTTACAGTCACCAATATGGACACTATCTTAAACTCATTGTTCCTCGTGTAGCACACTAGGTGTACCTAGCTGCTCGACTTAGTGGTAAGTTTTACAAAATGAAAGACGTTAAATATGGAGTTTTGCGGAAGAGAATTAAATATAAAAACTTAATAAAATGGTAATCCACAGAACTAATCTCCAAAAACTATGTCATGACTCGTGAAACTAAAACTTGTGAGGAATGGTCATGTGACATGATAGTGGAATAAGTTTAGGAGTGAGCAGACGAATGCTGACAAACTCTTTCAACAAGGTGAACTAAAGCGGAAAATGATAAATGGAATGGTGTGTCACGTGATTGATGAAAAGGGCCTGCTAGGATGGCTAATTAATTGAGTAAAGCTTATTGGTTGAAGTGAAATGCGTATACAGAACTTATAATGAAATGTATGCAACTAATTGCTGGGAAATGAGAACTTACATGATTTGAGGTGCTGAAACTGTGGAATCTAAACGGTACAATTTGAGGTGAAGGTGACTCATGATAGTTTCAAGTTTACAACAAACAAAATATAAACTATATAAAATCAAGTGTCTTTTTATCTATTTCTGAGTAATATCAATAACTGTAAATTAAAGTAACTTCTTTAACAAGTAACAAAAAACAAAAATTTCGGTTGAAAATGTATGGCCTCTGAAAAAAACTTGAAAGGTCGGCCACCGGTAAATTCATGACCGGGATAATTTGGCGGGTTTTGGGAAAGTCCGACATATTTTTCCCGGTCATTAATTTTCCCAGTTATAAATTAACCCGCTATAATATAATATTCCCGAGTAAGGTATTCACTATTGCAAATAAATTTGTCATGCCATAGTTATAATACACTGCAGCCACACGCGCTGCTGCCGTGCGTCGCGCGACCTTTTCTGTCATGGTAAATGAAAAATTGTTATATTTTATTTTGTATTTGTCATTGCGCCCTCCTATTATAACGTTTGGTTATGGGACAGACAGAAGGACTTTCGACAAATCTGTTCCAAATAAAAAGTTCGAAAATCGAGTTTTTAGTGAATAACTTAAAATATATTTTTGATTTCTCAAGAACTGACCGACAGAATTTTCTTTAACTTTCCAAATAGGTAGGCGAATTTCTATTTGCCAAACTTGAGATATGACTTCAGACACAAGAAAATATCTCCAAATTGGCGGTTTCTAGCGGAACACAGGCATATATTTCGAGATCTGACTAATTCAAATTGGTGGTTATATTTTCTTGTGTTTGAGGTAGTATCTCAAGTTTGGAACAAACTCGCACAGATTGTTCCTATTATAGTTATTTTACTATCTGAAAAGTTTAAAGAAAATGAATCAACATAATCTCGAGATAAATGCTTTGGTACCACACAAAACCACCAATTTGGAGATATTTCCTTGCGTTTGAAGTGATATCTCAAGTTTGGCACATAGAAGTTCGCCCAAACTCGCGCAAATTATCCGTCTTATTGCCATGTAACTATCTGGAAAGTTTAAAGAAAATTGATCAACACGATCTTGAGATAAATACCTTGGTACGAAATATTGTACGATGGTACAGTTTGGTAAATAAAGTACAACTCAGGACAGGCTGACATACACGTTACAAGTGTTGAAGGAAGTACCCCACTCAATATTGGGATAGTATCAGAAAAGGTTCTCTGAGTCTTGTGAATAATCATTTGGGGCCCCTTTCTTGTGCAGTGTAAAAGCGACATGAACCCTAAAAGGTGACCAGAAGCGACCCAAAAGCGACCGGAAGCGACCTAAAAGCGACCAAAAAGCGACCAGAAGCGACCAAAAAGCGACTAGAAGCGACCAAAAAGCGACTAGAAGCGACGAGAAGCGACCCAAAAGCAACCAAAAAGCGACGAGAAGCGACCAAAAAGCGACTAGAAGCGACGAGAAGCGACCCAAAAGCAACCAAAAAGCGACGAGAAGCGACCAAAAAGCGACCAAAAAAGCGACCAAAAAGCAACCAGAAGGCGACCAGAACTCCAGAAGCGACCAAAAAGTGACCAAAAGCGACAAAATTGAGTCAAAAAGTGACAGAAAAGCGACAAATTTGTCATTTTACACAGCTTACACACATTTTACACAGCTTACATACATTCTGTTTGGAGAGAAGAAGAAGAAAAATAATATGAATTGGAAATTCAACTCATAAAACTTATTTTGATATCTTGGTTGTCTCTAAGAACCTCGGGCCCCTCTCTTGTGTAAGATATAAGTTAAACAATTTAGGGAATTTAAAGTAAAGGAGGAGGTGGAAGAGGAGAAGGACTAAGGAGGAGGAGGAGGACTGAGGAGAAAGATGAGGAGGAGGACTGAGGAGAAAGATGAGGAGGAGGACTGAGGAGGACGGGGAGGAGGAGGAGGAGTAAAACTGAGGAGGACTGAGGAGAAGGAGGAGGAGGACTGAGGAGGACTGAGGAAGAGGACTGAAGAGGGAGACTGAGGAGGAGGAGGGAAGGCGGAGGATGACTGAGGAGGATGACTGATGAGGAATGATGAGGAGAAGGAGGTGGATGAGGAGGATGAGGAGGACTAAGGAGAAGGAGGAGAAGAAAGAGGACTGGTGAAAAGGATTGATGAGGAGGAGGAGGATCAGGATGACCCAGGAGGAGGATATAGGAGGAGAAGGAGGAGGACTGAGGAGGAGGATGAGGACTGAGGAGGAGGAGGAGGACTGAGGAGGATGGCTGAGGGGGATGACTGAGAGGGAGGAGGAGGAGTAAAACTGAGGAGGACTGAGGAGAAGGAGGTGAACTGAGGAGGAGAACTGAAGAGGAGGACTGAGGAAAGGAGGAAGAGGAGGGGAGGTGGAGGAGGATTGAGAAGGATGACTGATGACTGGTGAGGAGGGGAAGGAGGTGGATGAGGAGAAATATGAGGAGGACTGAGGAGGAGGATGAGGACTGAGGAGGAGGAGGACTGAGGAGGATGGCTGAGGAGGATGACTGAGAGGGAGGAGGAGGAGTAAACCTGAGGAGGACTGAAGGGAAGGAGGAGAAGAAAGAGGACTGGTGAAAAGGATTGATGAGGAGGAGGATATAGGAGGAGAAGGAGGAGGACTGAGGAGGATGACTGAGGAGTAGGACTGAAGAGGGGGACTGAGGAGGAGGAGGGGAGTCGGAGGAGGACTGAGGAGGATAACTGATGAGGAATGATAAGGAGGGGAAGGAGGTGGATGAGGAGGATGAGGAGGACTAAGAAAAAGGAGGAGGAGAAGGAGGACTGGTGAAGAGGATTAATGAGGAGGAGGAGGACTGATGAGGAGGAGGAGGACTGAAGAGGAGGATCAGAGGAGGAGGAATGAGGAGGAGGAGGACTGAGGAGGAGGAGGACTGAGGAGTAAAAATAGGAGGAGGACTGAGGAGGGGAGGAGGAAGAAGACTGAGGAGGATCAGGATGACCCAGGAGGAGGACCCAGGAGGAGGACCCAGGAGGAGGAGGATGACTGAGGAGGAGGACTGAAGAGGACTGAGAAGGAGGAGGACTGAGGAGAACTGAGGAGGAGGACTGACTAGGAGGAGGAGGGGGACTGGGGGAGGACTGACGAGGACTGAGTAGGAGGACTAAGGAAAACGATGAGGAGAAAACGACCAGAAGCGACCAAAAAGCGGCCTCAACGTAAAATAAGTGACCAAAAGTCGACGTTGTTAAAAAAAAAGTGACCCAAAAGGGCCACTTTTCTGCCAGAAGTGTCATCAAAAGTGACGGTCACTTTTACACAAGAAGGGGGGCCCCATTGGCTCGTTAGCTAGGGTTTTGGCAGTGATATCATAGTACAACTAAGTACCACCCCGGCCCCTGACTAATTAATTATCTAAATGCTAATTAGGCAAGAACACTGAAGCTGTTCTAAAGTGTGAGCTATAGTTATTTTAAAAGCTGTCGCTAAGTATCCAACTTTCCATTATAAAAGCCGGATGAGTTTATTTGTGAAGTTCTTCTAATGATTATTGGCAGTATTGGGGAGGCACAATCAGAAATACAGTTTTGTGATTGGCTACCCATAAAACAATGCGGTAACGGGTAAGGGTCTTGTGCCTGTCCTCATTTCTCAGCAGCTCCGTTCAGTTAAACCACTTAATTTTTCGGCAGTTGTAACCCAGTTACCTCAGAGCCTCGTGCTGGCTTTTACAGAACTATTTGCCAGAATATTTACGAAGAAATATTAAAAATTAATTTAAATCGAATTATCTTGATTTAATTTATAAAGAACAAATTACAAAAAAACCACATTACAAAAAAACCACATTACAAAAAAACCACATTACAAAAAAACCACATTACAAAAAAACCACATTACAAAAAAACCACATTACATATTTATCTACAAAAATTCAATTGTACTTTGGTAAAACTTTCCATATCCTTTACAGCTTTTTGAACATAATCATAATTCTAACGTTTTGCATACTGGAAACAGTTCAATACTCTAGAACAATTTCAATTCAGAAATAAAATAAACAACAAACACTACAAAATCGAAGTTGTAACGAATTGGTCCTCTAATGATGATGAATACCCCGATAAATACCACCGTGGTCACAAGAGAGCATTCAAGATATCAGATACTCTGGCTTTGAAATCATCTTTAGTTGACATCAATTGCTCCACTAAATCATCTGATTTCTCAATCAATTCATCTGAAACAATTCCAATCAAGGAGCTATCAGCAATACCAATATTTTTAAACCTGTAGCTGTGTTTTGCATAATTTAATAGATAAATTCAATAATCTTAGACACAATTCTATGTTTGATAGATCATTAAAATACAAACCTAGCATTTTTATGACGGTTAATTCCTTCTCACAGCTCCATTCGACTTTAGACTGGACATCATTAACTAGATCAGTCCACTCCAATACTAAATCTTGTTTGTCAGCTGACATCCCCTATCAGTTATTTATAGTTTATTAATTGAATCGATAAATTAGTTCAGAATGTACAGTGGGGTTCCATAATTTAAGTTTTAGTCATTCCTGCCCAGTGCCCACGCGCACGATTTTTTACTTTTTTATTTCACAATTTTTCAGCTTTTTTAAGCAGTTAAAACACTAATAATAATAAACTGCAAGTTGATTATTATGATAGTGGTAATTTTATTTAATGATTTTAAAAATAATAATGTTTTCTGCGGTGCCCCTTCAATGACAATAGGGTGAAAAAACAACAATTCACTTCCAATTTAAAAAATCTTCTTCATTTTGTAGAGTATGAACTTGCTTGTGGATATGTAACTTTAAAATCGGCCAAAAGTTTCCACTGGGGTAAAACCTTCATACGTCTTATAAACATCTAATGGGTCAAGCAAACTCACATCGTCGGGATATGATCTCTAGCCAAAAATTTTCTCTAAAAATTCTAAAACATCTGGGGTGCAATGCACTGCCAAAAAAAGATCTTTGACGGATCAACATTTCTTCTCTTTAAGCTCGGTCTGTAAAAGCTTTTCAGCATATTCAAATATACCGAAATTGTGAAACAGTATCAGCTTATCTTTAAGTATTTGAAAATATCCTCCTGAATTAAGGGTCCCATCAATCATGCTTATTGTTTCCACACCGAACCAAGAGATGCAACCCTATTATATCATCACTTGCATCTTTGGTTTCTTGTTGCTCCGATACAGGTCCGGTCGGCAATATCCTTCATCTTTCATCTTCCAAACGTACGCTGATACACCCGTCTATCCTGTCCTATTTTGATGCAGCGTTCGTCGGAAATATTTTTTCAGCGTTCTTTTTTCCATTGTTTAATCTTCCAGAACTTCCCCACCTTACACCAAGCTATCTTCAACCTTCTGTAATTGCTAATTGCTTGAGCAGTCTTCGTGTTTATATCGTTATCTTGATTATCACTTATATCTACCGATCAGTTGGTGCAGAAGTCAAGGTGTCGTTCCCACATTTTCTCGGAGAATCTGAGAGAATTAAGTTGATTTAATGAAATTGAAGAACGGTGTTCAATTATTTCATACAGTATTTACCGTTTTATTCTTGGCTTTGGGTGTAACAAATGTTTGTTAAAAATTAAATTAAATTTTATCAAAAAACGCCACTTTATCTTGACATGTTAGACTTTTCAAAATTCAAATTTGGGTCTTCACTTCATCCTCTTTTAACCAGAGTGTTTATCTTATATTTTCTATGTTAGGGCCGGGATGGTTATCATATCAAGAAACCAGATGTTTACCTTTTCAGACCCCTCCCCGGCCCCCTCTGTATGCCACTTTGCAAATAGCAATGGTATAAACATTACACTTACAAGCTTTCCCAAATTCCCTGGCCCTCCTCCTAGGCTGGCTTACGTTATAAAAAAAAGATATGTTAAAGACTTTAGCATGGCCATGTAGCTGGCTCTCACATCCTGGCTCTCACATCGCTCCAAAACAAAGACATTAACCCTCTTGCCGGGCCCTCCTAGCGCTCCAAACTAATGACATTACATTGAGTAAAACCCTTTAGCAAGGCATTGTTATAATGGTAATTTAGCATAGTAGTAGAGCATTAGTCGCTACCGCAGTCCGCATCTTTAAATACTAAAGACCGCATGGTGCCACAAGCATTTTGTATAACGCTAGTTGGTTTCTTTCGCGGAGATTTAACTCTCTGTGAGAGAGCAAACACCGAGGGAGCCATCAAATATGTTGCCTTACTTAGCATCGTGGTCGAGAATGTTTTCTTTTCATAATATTCCATATTCGTTTACTGTGTTGTGTTTATTTTCAGATAATAATGGCAGGTTATATAAATACAGAAGATTAAGAAGCTGCATACTTAGATATCTCATAATAATTATATGGGGTCGTTCACATATTATGTGATCACTTTTTGGACAATTTTTAGATGGTCAGAGAGTTATAACAAGCAATTTTTAAAGTTTTCTTACTACTTACTTAACTTTTTAACCCTCATAATATGACATTTGCTAAAGATATGATTACAAACGAGAGTTTTGGTGTCGTCCTTCTGTTGATGTCAGGATTATCATCTGCGCAATATACAGGTACGTTTAAAGTTGAGATCTCATATTATAAAAAATTTACCATTGTGATACATCATACAAGTATTAATTTACCTCCCTGCGGTGAGCCACCGCTTCCCTCCATCGCCATGTTTGAAGCTCTCTCATCAACTGTTATATTAGTGTTCTTATTAGTTATTATTAGTGTTCTACTTCAGAGGGAAGTAAAATATTTTAAACTTTACAATTGTTATTATTCCTGTATAGCAAATAGATTTTCTAATCGTGCAAAAGTCGTGTAGTTGTCAAACAATTTATAAAAATCCGAATAAAGATATTTGCCGGTTTCAGTTATTTATCATATTATGGCGTTTTACTGTTATTTCGCGCTTTACCCGGTTTGTCAAAGGCTTAGCAGGCTTACTAAGAGAAAATATCCATTAGCTTTTAATACAGAGGGTCCACACCTCCGTATAATTACGGTAGTAGCCAGTAAGTAAACTTAATTTTACAACAGGGTGGTCGGCCGTTCATAAATACGAGCTTATACAATTTAATCTGGAAAAGAAAATGTTGGAAATCAGGACAGACTCAGAGACAGGCAGCAGCAACATAACGAGTATCGTGTTCTTTGATTCTTCAGCAGTGATGGGAGTACTGCACGTCAGCTTACCCTCAGAGAAGGAAAAAGTGTGGGGTATTCAATTATCTGTGACTGAGTTTGTGTTGTAATGGTCAGCGGGTAGTAAGAGTAACAGGTGGATGTTTCTAAGCTAAATACAGAAAGTCTGTAAAAAGAAGATAGCTTTTTGGAAGAAGTCGGGAGGATCATTAGCGGATACAGCCTCTGTCGCGTTTATTTCTGATCTACAAGTTGAGATCAGAAATTTCTGTGAAATCAGTAGCTATTGAGACTTAAGGAAGATAAATTGAAACGTAAATATATATCATTTAATCAATTAGTATCATTAGCACTATAACTCCAATTTTGACCTATTTGGCGGCCATTTATTAATTCCATAATTGCACCGGTTTTTGTTCCAGGGGGTGCGATTACAAAACTAATTGCACTGTTTTGAGAGTGACCGAAATCTTATTAGGTACGATTACTAAACTAATTGCACTGATTCCCTGAAAGATGCTGTAAATCATGGCTCAGGCAGATAATTAGAGTTAGAGAGAGCACCTCGTAAAATGAGGACCTAATTGAAACCGAGTATTTTACTACTGTGAGGTGCTGATTCAAGTATTGACTTAAATCAACTACCTGAGGTAGTTTGGCAACCGTTAGTGCAACGGTCGCACGAAATAAATTTATGGGCATAAATTTAAATTTATAGTTTAGGACAACATCTTTCCTTGTGTTTGGAATAAGTCAATCCTTACATTGCATTAACACAACACAGTATGAGGCTGATATCTCATTAATTATTTGTAAAACAAAAAGTGGCATAACTTATGTGCTGATAAATATTTGTGCTTCTAAATTTCACAGAATGTTAATAACAAGTATCTAAACCTTTGTGGCAAGTTTTGTGTGATTGCGAGCTTCACTGAGCTTATTTGACCAATTTAGCCCCTGAGCGAGCTAGCTTGAATTTCTCACCCAGAACTGTTTACATTGGTTAATAGAAACCACAAAAAAAAATCCTGGGTAACAAAATTAAAAAACCAGCGATTTATTCACGTTTTACCAATTCTATTCACATGGATCCATCGCACATTCCATTCTCTCTATATTTTAACTGATAAGGACTATCACATAACAGATGATCCTTCCTGCTTGTTTATATCGTTCTTCTTACATGGAATGTGCGATGTATCATGGTGAATAGAATTGGTAAAACATAAATAAATCGGTGGTTTTTTAATCTTTTTACCCAGGATTTTTTTGGTGGTTTCTATTAACCAATGTAAACAGTTCTGGGTGAGAAATTAAAGCTAGCACACTCAGGAGCTAACTTTGTCAGACAAGCTCAGACTCACACAAAACTGAGCACGAAGTTGTGTCTAATTATGATTATCATTCTCTAAAAATTTGAATCAAAAATATTAATCAGAACGTAAGTTATGGCGCTTTTCCATTCTGAAATAAAATAATTAGTGAGATCTCAGCGAGCTGTTACAATTTTAAGAGATAAGGATGGGCAGACTTTTGAGGCCCACCCTGTATAACAACAAAGTCGGTGCGATTATAAACTAATTACACTGGTTATAACATCAGAGGCGTGGAGTTATACGCGAATCTAACTGCATGTATAATACGATTACACCAGTTATTGCACTCGGCTGCGCCTCGTGAAATAACTGCAATAATCGAACTCGGCTTCGCCTCGTGCGATTATTGTATCAATTTCCACTCGGCTGCGCCTCGTGCAATTAATAGTGTAATCGCATTATACGCAGTTAGATTAGCGTATATAATATTGTACGATACTGAACCTAACACTCTCCTAACCCTCAGTGTTTACTCCTGTGTCGGGGACTGAGTACAAGATCAAGAAAATTGACGGCCCAGCGGCGGGATACACGTTAACTTCAACGTCTGATAAAAGGAATGAAAACTCTTTTTGGTATTGGTTTTGTCTCCACTTGATTATGATTTTGTTCATCCAATAACAATCACCACTATCTTATCAAACTTTTTATGGTGTAGCCTTAACTGGAACTTAATTTCCTGGAGTCGATTAAACTGCACACTCACTATACACTATACACTATACACTATACACTATACACTATACACTATATATATACACTATACACTATACACTATACACTATACACTATACACTATACATATGTATTACTCTTCATCTTGTCCAGGTTCACTCACAAATGAGTGATGGGACTGATCAGGGAGAGAAGTGGAGGATAACTCTAAGTGAGCTGAACGGAGAACCTTGTTACAAGTTTCAAGTGTTGCATGGTACGTGATATACTTTGTAGTAGATATAATTAATGGATATTTTAATTTAATAGTATAATTTGCCTAATAGTAATGTAGTCGACATTAACATTATTTCTTAGGGGTGGTTCACATATTACGTAATCAGCCGAGGAGGGAGGGGGGGGGCCGGGGGTTTCCAAATGATTACGCTAACGTAATTTTGACACAATAGCTTAGCTATGTCTAAAAATAATTACGGAGGGGGGGGAGGCCGAGGGGGGGGGGGGGGTCGGGGGGTTAAAAATTGGCCAAAAAGTGATTACGTAATTATGTGAACGACCCCTTACAAATACCTAAAATTAGTCAATTAATATTACAGGAGTAAGCACGGATAGAAACTTAGCAGCACACGATTGGAACAAACGGGCGAATGGGGACGGAAGAGTCATGGTACACTCAACTCATGACGAAACTGACGAATGTTGGATTATGGAGGGGGTCAAGAAAGAAGGACTTTTCGTCGGCTACAGAGTCGTGAAATCTCAGGTGTGATTTATTTTTGTTAATGATCAGCGCACGATCACAAGATGTAGCAAGACTTCTATGAAATTTTGGGATATATAGTAAAAGACGGTAGTAATAGTTGTAAGTAAGAACTTTCACTCATAATTGGTGATCATAGAAAAACTTGCCTGTAATTATACGTTTGTTCCCTAAATCTAGCTGCAAAAATAATAATCCGATTTTATTTCAGAAATCCCACAGGAGCAAGTTCCTAGTTTCGAGACTCGCAAGGATAAGGAACGATACAACATTTTGGGTTGATGTAACAGACGATAAGACGGACGTTTTATGGAATATTGTCGCAAATTCAGTTGGTACGTTTTAATTAAAGATATTCAATGATATACATTATAAATATTATGCAATTCACTAAAAGATGGCGACTTTTTAACAGTTTTATTCTCCAAAGTCAATATCAGTATATTTCGGTCTTGTGTGGTAATTTTACCCTCAAATACTGACTCAGTTGTTAAGCTGCTTGCACACTTGTTGACTTTCTTGTTATCTCCTGTCGAAACCTTTCTCAAACAAAGCAGAGAATTATCAACCAGTAAAGAAGTACAGTAAAACCCCAATTTACCGTACTATTTTTCTTAACTCCAAACGTTACGGTAAATCGCAGTTTTTTTTTGTGTAGCTAAATCCAGTGCATCGGCTCTGATAGGGAAAACTAGTCAGATATTTGAGGGTGAAGACCAAACTAAACTTGAAATAAGTGGGATAGTTCTAATGAAAAGTCACTAAAAGGTGTTACAAGCAGTGTTGGGATAACGTTATCTTAACAGTACTTGTGATAGCACTTAGCAGTGTCAGGTATACTTGAGTTTTTATGAAAGATGATGTAAAGAGGACAAGCAACTAGGGACACGGTATCTAGACGTGAGAAAATCAAAGACAATCTGGTTATAGGTATGTTATCATTAGTATCAAACCTAAACATTAATTATCCCAGCATCAATCAAGCTTTAACTTACAACAGTTTTAGTTCTTCAATGTGCACACATCATGTTAATCATGTACTTTAGACACCTCAGCGACCGTATCATTTCAGATTAGGAAAGTAAGAAAAAAGAACTTCAGATGAAAAAAGGACTTGTCAGAAAGATGAACTTTTAAAGCACAGATACCGGCATTTTAAAACGGAAAATATAAGCTTTTTAATAAATATTTAGTGTTCCAGGGTCTTTAAACTCTTTTAAAAAGTATAAAAATATATGGTCTTAAGATAAACAATTTCACTAAAAATTAGTAACTCATAAAGACACAAACCTAGCATTTTTATGTTGGTTAGCTTCTTTGCATTTTAAACTGGGCATCATTAACATGATCAGTCCACTCTGATACTAAATCTTCTTCGTCGGCCGACATTATCTTTCCAGTAGATAACATTAACATAGTTAACTTATGATTGATTTATTAATTTAAAATGCATTTGATTTATAGAAACTTTAACTGTAAGCTTACTGGTTAGGGATGCTCATACAATGTACTTCAAAATCATATTGTTTTCCCTTCCGAATAACAGGAATAAGGACTCTATAATTTTTGCCATAAAACATCAGGAAGGTAATATTTTAGCTTGATGAGAAAATTCGAATAAGAAAACAAGTAAAGACCTGTAGCTGTTTTAACAATACAAATAATATAATCAACGATTTCGATTATCTCGGTTACATTTACAGTATAATTAACGAATGTTCTCAAACAGCACAATGTCAATATATGTCTGAAATAAACACAAAGCTATTATATGAAATGACAACAAAAAACCATCCGGCTACAAAATCATCAGAAATGACAACACACAAATGTGCATCCAGTCAAATCTCAATCTTAATGCCCATGTTAACTGCATACAAAGCTAATAAATCACTTTCGTTGATCTCTTAAAATCTGTGACCAGAATTGTCAACTTGGTAACGTTCTTCCCAAACTGAATCGAAAGGTGTGCTATTTCTACCCCGAGTATAATCTCTCACGGCTTCATTCATACCCAATGGGCGGTCCTGGTGTCTCGACTGAAGAAAGAAAGATAATTTGAAAAAGTAACATTCCGTAACTTAGTATTTGCACCGGCAATTCAAGTCATCGACATCAACTTTTACTACTTATTACAAAACTTTATAAAACTCAAAAGTGAGAATTGTGAAAATAACGTTCCTGCTACTAACACAACCGCAGTTACATAATATCAATAAAACTAATATCTTACCGCTTTATCCAAGAACTCGACTTGCTCTTCATTTGTTTTCAATACCTCGTCATCAGGCAGATCTTCACCGTCTGCTTTATCACGACGTAAATCTAGATGGAAACCGGGTCGGAACTTATCTGACTTCAGAAAATCGAACACGTTCATCTCCTTCAGGGATTTTGCATCGTAATCCTCTCCGTTGTTGATAATTCTGATCTGGTGTTCTCCGGTGGCGTCGTTTATAAATGTTTTCGGAGAATCTGTGGAGAATATAGGATAAAATTGGTAATGTTTACTAAGCAAAAGTGGGTAATGTGCATTGTGCATATATGACATGACCATCATACGATGCATAAATAAATCAAAACACCCGAAAATAAAATCCCTCGACCTCAATCCTCTGCAAGCCTTGTGTTTGAAAGAATGATCTAAGGCAAACCTCGGGAAATATTGAAACTTCCACCAACTCATCAAAAATGTATAGTGTATACTATTAGGTATGGAAGGTCGGTGAAAGACACAAGTTGCCATCAAGGTACTGGAAGCAGTACATCCGGAAAAAGCTTTGACGGAATGAAAATTTTGAAAATGTCCTACCGGTATACGCGTTACTCGGTAGGACATTTTCAGATTTCAGCTTTCCAGGACCCAAATTTCACTGCTTTGACTGAATTTTTCTCGAATGACCGTCTAGCAAGGTTACTGAGGATGGCACAAGACACGATTGAGGTAGTGAAAGTTCTATTCCCAAAGAAAGCTTTGATAAACGGAAAATCAGCAGGATAGAAAAAGATATTTTGGAAGATTTTTGAAGAGAAGATTTTCCAATCAGTGAGGTCGGTAACAGTGACACAAGTCTTCATCAAGGTACTGGAACCAGTATATCCGAAGAAAGCTTTGACGTCCGAATGTAAATTTTGAAAATATCCTACAGGTAGGACATTTTCAGATTTCAGCTTTTCGGGACCCAAATCTCAGTCTCACTGTTTTGACTGAATTTTTCTTAAAAGATCATCTAGCAAGGTCACTGAGGATGACACAAGATACGATTGAGGTAGGTATACTATAATTGTACAAACCATCATATTGCTTATCGATACCATCTGCTACAGTATTATAGGTAACATAAGGATGGTACTGCTTATCCTCGAGTCTCCACGCTGGGTGCTCTCTATCCTCCTCTAGCACAGCTCTGTTACTCAGTCTTATTTGACTGAGGGTATTAATTTGTCAATAAGATCATCATATTATAACTAATAAAATATTCCCTTAAAGGATGAGGGGACCTTAGAATTTACTTCCAAATATTCGCGTTTAAGTCCTGTGAAAGTGTGTAGAATCAAAAAATACGCCGGACTGTGAAATCGATAATTCGTGCAATATCACGCCGCGCTCCTATTGGCTGATAGCAATTTTGGGCTGTGACGTCACTTATGTGTTAAGACCAACGTGCGCGCGCACCTTTTGCTCGTGTCAACATTTTGTTCTGTTCTGTTTTAATTACGTCGTGTTACCTTTGGCGTTTGCGAGAGCGGTATCTTTGGTTGCACTGAATTAGTCTAAGTTACGAATAATTCTCTTTAATAATAATAGTTAAATGTAACTCAGAAAGGCTTTCTTGTAGTTTTAGTAGGTATTTCTATTTATAAATAGCAAAGATAAGTAGCATCCGCTAACTAAACCACAAACTGCTATTTTGTTTTGACTTGTTTGAAACCCGATATGGACACAATTAAAAAGAATGTATGATGTAGTAGAAGACATTTTACTAGCTGGCCCTTGGCGCCTCTAGTCCTATCTGAGTACGCACGTGCGGTTTGACACTGCGCGTGTACCGGCCTTTAGTTGTACACTCATTTATAATTTACCGTTTTAGTTTGCTGTGACTTGAGTGTAAAGCGTAACGAATGTGGATGTGTTCGTCTGCTATGCTTGGTATAATATTGCTTGGTGTAATAGTTGCAAATCTTGCTTACGCTATAAGTAGTGTCACATAGTGAGTTAGAACTTAAAAGCTTGGCGCTTGGTGCTTGTCCAACTGGAATGAAGACATGCATTTCATACCTACCCGATCCATTTTTATTAGGACCGTGTTGTGTTGATATGACATGTTGATATATCAACTGTGGTACGAAACAGGGAGTTGCTAGGTGTTACGTCGCGTTAGGAGCTATAAATATACATAATTTACATGCCTTTCTGTGTGACTTCAATCTTATTCCAGGTGTATCTCGGCTCATGGTTATCGTAGGGTGATAATTCTTTTTTCAACCGATCATATAAAGTCTCCTCTCCATTGGTTATAGGCTCGTTAGTATCGTAAATTGTTAATTTATTCTTAATTAGTAATTTAGTCGGCCCGCACGCTCATTTTACCTGTATTTCTAAATGCACGGATCAGAGCAACTCACATAATTGACGTCACAGGTTCAAATTGTTTTGGCTGGATATCTCGGCGCGCGAATGAAATACAACTTTGCGGATTTCACTAAAGTGGTTTATACGATTAATGTAATAAAAGGATTTGCACGAGAAAAAAACTTTTTCTAAGGTCCCCTCATCCTTTAACGAGTTTATTCAATGTGCGACCAGGAATGCATATGGTGAGTGGAATTTAATGTGAATGGTAAAACTCTCATAAAATATACATATTATAATGTACATATTATGATGTATTAAATACAATGTAGACATGTCAATATAACTCACACTTCAGAGTAGGGTTTTTCGCCTGGTTGAAGAATCTTTTTACGCATATCATCATTTGGTATATTCAACTTGTTACCCTTCTTCCCTGTCTTAACATTGATCCAGTCCACTGCAGTGTGTCTGTAAATACCAATCGGCAGCTCTTCAAACATTGTCTGAGCCACACTCACATTGATAAACTTGAACCGGCGCCTGAAATTATATTTTATCGCGTTTTAATACAACATTTTAAACATGGGCATTTAATTATTCGAAATGAACTTCCAGATGATGTAAATATCAAATTAAAATACCTAGATCAGAACGGATAGACATAATTGGACTTATTAGTGTCAGTAGTAATAGTAGTACAGACTACAGTGTCAGTATAAAAGGAAAAATTTCAGACTGAGCAGGCAATTCAAGAGTACTATTCTCCTGAAGAGGATCCCAGCGCAGCTAATCCCCACTAATCAAAAGATTCCCTTTGTCTATTAATAATTTGCTACTAGTGTACCATTATTGAAAAGGATGTAGGAGGCTCACTTACTTGGGATTATTTTCTTCCTGGGTCATCGAGTAGAGTTTGTCCTCAATATCTCGATGAGCTATCATTAGCCTTTCTTGCATGGCATACAATTTTTTATCCCTACCCCTCAACATATCGCATTGAACCTTACAAGAATATCCTTATTAATTTGAAGAGGTCGCTGCAACAACGATCACAAAAGTTTCATTCAGCACTTACTTACTGCACTTATTGAATGAACGAAATGTTGTACAATGAATTAAGACAAAGAATCTTTTATCATTACAATGGTTCGAGAAATTTTCTGCTCCAACTCCTTGACTTGGGACTCCTTCTCCTTTACCATCATGTACTGGTTTTCTAGTGAATTATACCCAGCCTGGTTGGGGTCCTTGACAATCTTCGTCTGTATTACTTTAACCTGTGATAATGAATTTAATGGCAAAAATACAATGATCATATTAATAGCATATTAATAAGCAATTTTGGTTCAACATTTGATTGTGTGTCATTAGAATAGAAATTGGATTATTAATTTTAAGCTGTATTTCGGGAAAATAATGCGGAGTTCGGACCTAATAAATATTAAGATTCTAACAGCTTACCCTTTGTCTCTCTTTTAAGTTTTCAATAGAATTCTGAATAGCCTTTATCCAAGTTTCTCTAGCAACAAAACTGCTAGCGGCAAGAACCAGAACTCTTCCAGAAAAAGCTGGTCCCGCCGATATCTTGATGGGAAACCTTCGGCAAAAAAAGTCAGTTTAAATAAAAGTTGAGCAATTCTTTACGATATTAGATTTATTTGAAATTTGCTACGAATAAAATAGCAGCACTAACTGTTGATTAAAAACTAACTTTTGTCCGAACATGGATCTCTCCACAGGGAGTGACTCTACAACAAGATTTGAAGTGAGTAGAGAGATAGAGCTTCGGGGTGGACCACTAACTGCTTGCTCGACCTTAAATATCCTTTCTTCCTCACCAGGCCAGTACTGCGAGTCAATGTTGATAAAAAGGTTTAGTCTTTGACAAATCCGGGGAACAAAGTATTAAGTATGTGGAGCTCGGGCTTGTCAGGTACACATAATCTGGAAGTAGACAAAGTTGTATCCCATTTAATGAATATTATAAATTTAAGTCTTATAAAGGTTGTAAACCTGTAACAGCATGGTCCGTGTATTGAATAAGAAAAATCGTTTTCCCCAACTTTTGTTGTTATTAGGTTTGAAGAAGCCAGACTGTTTGAACAACCCTCCATACTTGACATCACCTTCATAACCGTCAGCAGCCATGGCCAAATAAGCTATAAGAAGTAAGGTATGATTGACAGAGAAGTATAAATAGTTAAATTTTGGCTTTATTTCATTTAGTTGTTAAAATTTCTATGATGTTTTATGGCCAATAGCCATGGTATGGGTGTTATGAAACAGCAATTATCTTTTAGACAAAACATTTAACTCCATCAGATAGATTTATACCATACAGTGGTAATAATGAGTGTGTCCCACAACCAAGCACCATGCCTAGAAGTCCGGCGTTATGTATTATAACGATACTGGACCTAAGTGGCAATTAGCTCTATATTAAAAAAAAACAAAAAAAAACCGCAATAATGTTAATTTTAGTATAAGTTGATAGAAGCAAGCGCATAAAATATTAGAAATCAAAATTCTATTGTTCCCTTTAATTTTTATCACTTTTCATCTGAGTAATCAGATTCGGGAACAATCTTATTCTGAAATGTGAATCTTTTGACTTTTTCCCATTTACTTCTCGTATCGAGTGCAGATTTAATTGCAATTCCAGATTCTGCAGGTCGACGAGAATTGTCGTCGGCAGATCTAATCCTATGCTCTATATCCTCCTCTGATGCATCCGATTCATCTGATTCATCCATCTGATTCATTCCAGAAAACAAAGTAGCCTGCATTTTTGTATTCACTTCTTTCAGCACATTCTGAAGATCTTGTGGATTCACTGCACTAGACATTCTCCTGACAAAACCCGGCTCTGTCATACTGCTAACCTTCTCGGCTTGCTTCATCAGAATGTTAAGATTATCCGTATCCTCCTCTTTCTGATCTTTATATCCTGTTATTTCAGCAAATGTCATTTCCTCATTGTTGAGGATTAGCTTTTCAAGAAAAATCTTCCTCAAATGATGAGAGTCACAGGAAAGCAAAACTAATCGCAGTCGCCTGAGCCGAGCGCAGTCTTTCATCAGAGAAGAACAAGGATGGTTTGTCCACCTAGACTCATACAAGAACTTGTCACCAACAGGATCATCAGGATCATGGAACATGGGCAAGATATCAGGTATTGGGACCTCTTTAACAGACAGTATCCCTCCCCTACTTTCATCTACACGATCCGGAGGGGGTTTGTATCTGGGAAACAGGGACATGAGAAGTTCATCTTCTATATTTGCGGGGAATTCATCGTTTTGTGAATCAGCTTCAAAGTTGATGCGACGAGAATAACCAAAACCAAACATGCCAGATGAGAAACAAATTTTTACTTCCAGTTTAGCCATGGAAGTCATGTCTTTACTGAACTCGTGGACACCAGTAATGATTCTTTTGCTCATTATGTCCTGAAAATGATAAAGTTGAGGTTAATGACAGTATGTCACTTTTGAATTTTTACAGATCATGATATAATCATAAACTTGATGTTAAGGTTGACGTTTGGTGGGGGACGTGTTCAAACCTGGTTGGTGGTTTTGTTACATTTTTCCCACTCTTTACTTCTGGGCCCCCAGATTGAAATCTGTAACATTTTAAGAAAAACTGAAACTACTGACAAAAACTAGACCCTTTGACTGAGGGCACCCTTGAATCAGAATTTTTGTAACATATTCAGGTCCTGAGATATAGCAGTTTAGTTGGGGGCCCTGGATATTGAATTTTGTAACACATTTCTATGTTACACTTTTTCAATGAGTTTTTAGAGAAGCTTCTTAATAGTTTTTCAAGTTCAGACCAGTTTTTCTAGGTCACAAAGGGTTCCATCAACCATATTCTTGACCAAATTTTATACTTGGGCCCAAAACATTGAATTCTGTAACATATTTATGTTTTCACTGCCAAGGTCATATCTGGAATATTCAATATATTTTTATATTGGTAACATGGTTTTTAGATTCTCATACAAAATTCTGAAGCAATCCTTATTCATACAATTTGATAAAATGGCTGCGGAACTTGAATTATGTAACATTAGAAAGTACGTGTATAGAGTATGTACCCTAGTGTGAGGGGTGTTAGGTAAGCTTAATTATAGTTTTTGAAGTTCAGACCAGTTTTTCCAGGTCACAAAGGGTTCCATCAACCATATTCTTGACCAAATTTTGTACTTGGGCCCAAAAAATTGAATTTTGTAACATATTTATGTTTTGACTACAAAGCTCATATCTGGAATGTTCAATATATTCTTGTACTGGTAACATGGTTTTTAGATTCTCATACAGAATTGTAAAGCAATCCTTATTCGTATAATTTGATAAAATGGCTGCGGAACTTGAATAATGTAACATTAGAAAGTAAATTTATAGAGTATAGTATATAGTATGTATCCTAGTGTGAGGGGTGTTAGGCAAGCTATATTATAGTTTTTGAAGTTCAGACCAGTTTGCCTAGGTCATAAAGGGTTCCATCAACCATATCATTGACCATATTTTGTACTTGGGCCCAAAACATTGAATTTTGTAACGTTTTAATGTTCCGGTCAAGCATTTTGTACACCAAAATTGTAAAATTTTGTATTGTTACAAATTTTAATATATAGGGCCCAATATCTATTTTCTATACAATTTGATATATAAATTAAACGTTTTTAAATATTCAACCTTTAATCTAATTAGCTATATTCATTTGATTAAATTTACCGCGTTCTGTCGTAAATTTAAATTACATTACATTTAAATTGTTACAAAATTCAATAATTTGGTCCCAATTATCAATTTTTAAATTTGTTAAGTTGTTTCATGTCTTTATTTAAATGCATCAACCAACTTAAAACCAATACTAAATCAAACAACTCTGTATAACATACTCATTTGTAACCATGTTACGTTATTCAAAGAAATGGGCCTTTTATTGATTATGAACCATATACCAAGATTGTGGTAATGCCTTTATACAAGAATTGCTGCACTAATAACCTGGTTTTGGAGTTAAATACATATCCTACACTAGCTGTGGTTGTAACAAACTATAAAGATATCATGAAAACAAGATGTTACAAAATGTCCATTTTGGGCCTTTTTATGAACTCAAAAGTGGGCCTTTTTTTATTCCACAGCTAAGCAAATACCTAAAGTACATTTTTGTGAGGCAAGAATCTTGAGAATTTAATAATTGGCTGAGCCATTGAAAAGTGTAACCAAATGTTACATTTTTCAATATAACTGGGCCATTTTACAATATTATTCATAGCCGATGACCTGAGACTATTTTTTATGACAATTATAATCGTCTCTGAAAGTTTCAAGACCATCAATTAATTATTAATGGAGTTATTGTAAAAATGAGAAAATCGCCCATTTTGGCAGTGTAACAAAACCACCAACCAGGTTTGAACATGTCCTGTGAGCAATAGCGAACAGCACGCACACCCCTTTGCCCCGTCAACACTCAACCTATATCTAATCTATTTAAAGAGTGACAACCATACTACACATTGAATTAGGATTCCCTTAAATATCAAATTGATTTATTGTAAGCCTGTTTACTCTGTAATAAATGGCATAAAATTGAAATTTTTGTTTAACTGAAATTTTTGTTTAACTGAATGACGAATGTAATGCAACACATTAGTATTGTATCAAGAGCTTCTTTACTGAGATTGAAATGTGGTTTTAATTTTTTAAATCACCCATTACTAGCGATACCTTAAGATGAAACAACATGACACCCATTTGTCGTTTTTCTATGCTTATCGTTTTGTCTTTGTTGGCTTTGTACATAATCATCTCAATCTTCAAGTTGAAGTTTTTCAGAGTACTTCTGCTTACTGGAATATTCACTGGAAAATGCTTCACAGAATCAATCAATGCCTGCAAATATAAAAATATTACAAAATCTAAAGAATAAAGTGATAAAGAGAAACATAACGATTATCCCTGGTTTCATCCTTATGTGGCAAAGAAGCGTTTTATAAATCTTTATTCCACTGGGAAGTTTGATTAGGTTTTTAAACAGTATAATGTATTTGATAAATTTTTAAATTATTGTATTTGATAAGTAATTAATGTTGGTAGGGAAATATTTATTTTACATTTTTTTCACATAGTGCAATGATATTTTGTAGACACTAGACATGTTGATGATGTGATGTCATACATTTGACTTTACTTTGCTTTACTCTACTTAACTTTAGAATTCGGTATGTACATGCAAACTTACAGTATATTAGAAATAAGTGAAAAAAAACTAACCCAGATCCATCAGATGGTAGTAAAGATATTTGTATTTTTTGTTAGAAAAAAATAAATATTCAAAATAAATAAGACAATTTTATTAATAACCTCCTTGTGTGTGAAGAAAGGCAAAACATGAGTGCGCTTGACAAATTTTGAACATGTTAACTGAAGATAAACATGATCATATATACTGCAACTTTCATCATTGAACTGAGACAGAACTAACAGTTGAACCAAAACTACGCCCTGGATGTCTTGGTCAGGTATATGCGTTTCCTCAAAAGAATCCTCCAAATCTGAGTCACTATCCGTATCCATAACCTGTCCTAGGCGAAAGAGATGAAATGAAAAGTAATGTTTTGTTTAAGGGGGCAGGGGGGGGGGGGTCTTCATGAATTTTCTCTCGAAATTGATTTTATAGTTCTTTCTGATAGAGGGGAGTCATATTTATCTGCTGCTTTTGGTCCCATGGAAAAATATTGTTCCTAGCCGAATTTATTGTCGGTCAAAGGTCAGCGCTGATGTGTAATTGTATTGCGCGAGCGATTTTCAATCGCGTGCCCTAAAAATCGAGTCCAAAATTCTATCTTCTCCTACATTTTTTGAGCAATTACCTTGAAACTTTCAGGATATGTTCTAAGGACCATTTGCATTTAGAAGATTCCATTCGATCAGAATTTTAAGATATACTTAGAAAAATTTTTATTCGATTTTGAAAATCTTGGACCTCGTTTTTTGACGATTTTTCCAGGTCCAAGATTTTCAAAATCGAATAAAAAATGTTCTAAGGCCTATCTTAAAATTCTGATCGAATGGAATCTTCTAAATGGTCCTTAGAACATATCCTGAAAGTTTCAAGGTAATTTCTCAAAAAATGTAGGAGAAGATAGAATTTTAGACTCGATTTTCAGGGCGCGCGATTGAAAATCGCTCGCGCAATACAATTACACATGAACGCTGACCTTTGACCGGCAATAAATTCGGCTAGGAACAATATTCTAGGTGTCCTGTTTAATCTGATCACTTGAAGGGGACGTTTAATAATAATAAGTTAAATTATTAGCTATTTTAGATTTAATAATAATATCAATCTGATGGCGAGATAATAAAGAGAATTCTTTTAATCGTGGTTTATCACATCATTTACAAAATCTCAATTCTCAGGTAAGAAGTTAAACTTAATTTTTACTGTTACAGCTCTTTGTACAAGTTCCTTGTCTGAGGATTTATTGAAAAATCAATGAAACAAATAAGTTTTCAATGAAACAAATACGTTTTATTTTACATTCTATTCCTTTAATCTTAATAGGCAGTGCGCCATCGACAATAAGACGCGCGCGCTGACCATTGAATGGTTTTATAGCTCTTATTTCGGCCAGCACATTATTTTGGAAACAATCGAAAAGTTATAATACTTCCCATATAACAATTTTGTTGAAATTTGGTCAGCTTACGTAAACACTTATGTTCTACTGAACCTAATTTAGTTTGAGCAATTTCGATGCTCAGAATTTGAGTTATCAACGAATTTATACCTATTTTGTCATTTTTAGACCTCTTAATCAAGGCCAATCTCTCCCAACTAAATTAGGTTCGGTAGTTAAGTATGATTGGAAGGTTCTGACAAATTTTCAGCATGATTCATGTTCAGGAACCGAAGATATGACAAAATAATACGACAAAAATCAACGAATTTCGTCAGATTACGCGACTTTTACACCTAATTTTGCTCCAAAAGCCGCGCACCATTAAATATGGCACCTAGGCGAAACTTACTGATCATTCCAAAAAGGCATGATAAATTTGGTACTGTGAAAATTCTCACAGTCTCTAGAAAACGATGGTACAAAAATTTTGAAAATCCGAGCAAGTTTATTTTTATCGTGCACCGCCTAATCTTAAATAAAATAAGAGCTTAAACCACGAATTAGTTAACTAGAAGTAAACTTGAGGAAATATTATTTGGTGATTGTATACAATTATTTTCAAAACTTTATTTGGTTGTTAGTATTTTGACTCATTTACAAACCACTTCAGACATGGCAATGATGTCATTTATGCTTAATTCGTCTGAAACTGACCCTATACTACTGACCCTATACTACTGCACTTCTAACATTCTATAAAAATCTCTTCTAAAATAGGTATAAAGATGCATATTATTATTATTAAACCTAAAATAGCTAATAATTTAATAAATTAAAGATGCATAACACAAAACACACAAAAAAATGTATATAATCCATATATAAATTTATATAGAACTTTTCAATTTCTATAAAACCCATAAACCTATATATATAAATTTTGCACCCAGAGAAAGATGTGATCACAGAGGTAGTTTCGATATTATGTTAATGACAGGGTATGGGGCTGCTCAAAGTTATATTTTGCTAAGATATTACAGCTTTTGCAAGCTTAAGTAGTTAAACAAAATTTTAGTAAAACAACATTTTATTTTATAGCCACAATCAATCCATATTTAGTTCAAATATTTAAAGTCAAAATAAACATTTAATTTCACAGAAGTGGTTTTATTATAATAAAATAATTTGTGATATGTGTTGCTCTATCCAGAGCCCTTGCGCTTGCAGTAGCGCGCGCCCGCCTTTCTTGACTTGTGAAACAAGCGCGCCCGAAGTCAGAAGTGGCGCGAAAGCACATGGTTAGGTGAACCTCGGGACCTCAGGCTATTATGTTCATAAACATAGAATATAATAGAGATTCGGCGGAATGACAGGCTGAGTGCGGCCCAGTAAGATCGGCCCGAAATGCGCTACTGTGCCTCTCCGAGCTGCGATGAATTGGCATCGTCAATTATAAACCTTAATCCCAACCCGGCCTAACCCTTTAAAGTTTAACCCCCACAGTGGCTGCAAAAGCGCAAATTGCAAACTAAGTATTTTGCGCGTTTTCTCGCATTTTTGACAAGATATATATTATAAGCACTCTTTAAATGCTGTCTATAAATTCCAGAACAATCCTTTTAGTATGATTTTTAATACATCATACAATTTATGGTCTAAATATCATTATCTAGCAATTTTGAAATTTATAGCTTAACTGTAAATAGAGTTAAGTGCATTTTAAAACAAATAAAAGTCCTCCATTTTGTTTTGATCATAACATATGAAATAAGTAAAACTAAATGGGCATATTTACACGAAATGATCAGAAATTTTCTAAATAACAATACAGTCAAAGTTTTAGGTATAGGCAGGAAAATATTCATAACTAAAACGTTAATCAAAGATATACGAATTATACTTATTTGTTTAAAAGATTGACTTTAAATTGAACAAAATGCGCGGAACGCCTGTACACCCTCACGTACAGGCTACCACTGACCAGGTTACAGGAGCAGGATACTGTGTAGTTCGAGATATAAACACATAAGCGATGTCCAAAGACAATTTTCCGCTTAGATATGACAGTACCTAGGCAACTGTCTATTAACTGTTTGGCGATCCCATTAAGCAGATTTAGAAGTAACACTCACCAGGAACACTGCACACTCCTACGAGTTGCACATAGCAGGCCATGATATCTCCTGGAAGTCCCTGTCTCTCCGTCTTCAACCCGACGCGACGGGGTTGCACCAGGGGTTGTGATAACAGAGCTTCAAGACTCTCGAAGTCTGTAGTCGATATCTATGTTTGAAGATATCGACTACAGACTCCAAGAAAGAAGACTTCAACCCTAACCCAATTCCTAACTAAAGCATACGGTGAAATCCTATTAACCCGTTGAAATCTTATTAACGGTAAAATCTTATTAACCCTAACGATAAATTATACCAACTTTCTTACAATATCATATCAAATGGTAGAGACAGTTTTAAAAATCTTGAAGGAGGACATCTTCACTTTCAGTTCTCTACATTGCTGATTTCTGTATTGATTGAAATAAATTTTCGTGCACATACAGAATGAATGGTTAATAATTTAATATATATGTAGACCAAGGTCTGTGCACGGGATGCTTCCTGGAAGAATCCAGTTCTTTTAGCGGGGCACCCTACCAAAAGCCAAATTGAGATATAATAATCATATTCCTAGAGAAATAATCAGAAATCGAATACCAATCAAATAATATGATATATAGGAGTAGTAACCATATTTACTATGCAAAATGCCCCAACCACATAGTGTAAATTTATATAGAATTCAAATTCCATATCATCATTAAACCTCAATAGTCAATATAATAGCCCAAGCAAAATTAAATAACTTCTTATATACCTTACTGTCATACTACAAATTAATTAAACATTTGAAATCTGTTAACCAGAGAATAAATTTCTAAACCTAATGCAAGTGAAATAATTTAGATGCAATAATGAATGCCTAATGTGAGTATCATCTGTCAATGTCCTTGTAAAAAAGTCTGTAAAAGAGATATGAGTAACTAATATAGAAGAAAAAACAGGAAGTTGTCGTCTGTTGAAAAATAAATAAAATATCTAGAATATAAATTAGAATATAAAATAACATTCAGTCAATGTGTCGTCAATAAACTGTACAATTATCAAATGTTAAAACTGGGTGATACAGTCACCAAAAATAAATACTAAGTATAATAAGTAAATAAATTAAATGTGGTCTATAAAACTACCACTAGGTATAATAGGTCAATAAATTAAAAGTGGTTTATAAAACTACCACTGTGCGAACCCTTTCTCCGGTTAAAACATGTCAGTCATGTGCAAAATCAATCAAAATGGTAAGGTGGTAAAAAAGGGAAAATCCTTTCGATACATCAATTATATAATATGCCTCAGATTTAAAAGAATTAGAAGATACTTAGTTATCGTCGACTATGATTGCAGTGTAAAATTTGTCATATGAATTGTCGACGGTATAATTAGGGTCTGTTGTTATAGATGAGAGTAGCTGTTTCTTATACGAATCACTAAAGCTTTTAACATCGGGCAGATTTCGTAGATCTGTTGGAACATTATTCCAACATTTTGCCCCCAAGTATTGAAAGTTTTTATGTGATGTTGATCTATTAACATATAGGTTGCAGCTTTCGCCGCTCCTACTACCTCCTGATATACATATCATGATATGTAACTAAATTTGTTCATAAAGTTTGTAGGACAATTGTCATGGATGATTCTAAACATATAATTTGACAGATGGAGTTGTCGTCTAAGATGGAGTGGTAACCATTTCATGTCTCTATAAACATTAAGGCTGCTCTCTGTTTGTGGAACGTTGAGAGCTATTTTGGCTACCTTTTTGTACAGAGTGTCAAGTTCAGCAAGTTTTGTCTTGCTAGCTCTACAATAGATTGTGTCTAAATAATCGAATTGTGGCA